GATTACTGTAAAAGACAATTTTCCCACACCGTTGATAGATGATCATATTGATCGGTTAAAAGGAAAAAAATATTTTAGTAGTCTCGACTTAAGGAACGGATTTTATCATATTAAGATGTCTGAGTGTTCGGTAAAATACACCTCGTTTGTGACGCCTATCGGACAATTTGAATTCCTACGAATGCCGTTCGGGTTGACTAATGCTCCACGAGTGTTCCAGAGATTCGTCAACAAAGTCTTTGATAAACTCATCCGAGAGAGTAATATCTTGTTATATCTAGATGATATTTTGATAGCGACTGAAAGTATAGAGGAACACCTAAATATTTTGAAAGATGTATTTGAAATAGCGCGACGATACCGGTTGCAGTTTAGACTCGATAAATGTTTCTTTGTTCGAACGGAAATTGTATATCTTGGGTATTTAATTAATGAAAATGGTATTCGCCCGAGTGAGCAACATGTTGAAGCCGTAACTAATTACCCAACCCCGCGAAACATAAAAGAGACGCATCGATTTGTTTGTTTAGCTAGTTACTTCCGTCGTTTCATCCCGAAATTTTCAATAGTCGCTAAACCGTTATATGACTTAGTCAAGAAAAATGCCGTGTTTAAATTTGGTTCAGAGGAGATCAAGGCCTTCGAAAAATTGAAACAGTTGTTATCTTCTCAACCGATACTATCGATTTATTCCCCGACACTTGAAACAGAATTGCACTGCGATGCGAGTACAAGTGGTTTCGGCGCGATACTTTTACAGCGACAAAAGGATGGTATTTTCCGGCCTGTATTTTATTTTAGTAAACGGACAACAGTTGTCGAATCCAAGTATCACAGTTTTGAGCTGGAGTGTCTCGCTGTGATTTATGCGATTAAACGGTTTCATATCTATCTCGCCGGTATCCCTTTTAAGATAATAACAGACTGCGACAGTTTTCGCCTTACTTTAAGTAAACAGACAGTTAATCCGCGAATATATCGTTGGGCATTATTTTTAGAACAATACTGTTATCAAATCGTACATCGACCCGGTACACAGATGAATCATGTCGACGCGTTGAGTCGATGTCATAGCATTCTGACATTAGAAGCAAATTCGTTCGACCGAACTTTATCTATTCAACAAGATCGGGATGTAAATATAGTAAACATTCGAAATAAATTAGAAAAATCTGAGGATAAATTCTTTGAATTGCGAGACGGTCTTGTTTACCGTAAAGATAAGGGTAAAAAACTCTTATTTTATGTACCGATATCAATGGAAAGTAATGTAATCCGTACGTGTCATGATGACATTGGCCATGTCGGCCTCGATAAAGTTATTGCTAACATTAGGCAAATTTACTGGTTCCCACAAATGAGAGAGAAAGTAAAGTGCTATATTTCTAATTGTCTGCGTTGTATAGAGTTTTCCCCTTCTAGTGGAAAGAAAGAAGGCAAGTTACACAGTATACCGAAAGAGAACTTACCCTTTCGAACGATCCATGTCGACCATTGTGGTCCCTTTGAAAAAACCGGTCGCGGATACAAATATATTTTAGCAGTAGTAGATGCTTTTACAAAGTTTTTGAAAGTATATCCGTGCAAATCTACGGCCTCGAATGAGACAATTAATCATTTGCGAAATTATTATCGAACTTATAGTAAGTCTCGACGCATTGTGAGCGATCGCGGAACTGCCTTTACGTCAGATAAATTTACTGAATTTATAAATAATGAGTCTACTCAGCATATCCTCGTAGCTGTTGGTACTCCGCGTGCAAATGGTCAAATAGAACGGTTCAACCACGACATTACTCCGATGATTGCGAAGTTATGTGACGAACCACACAAATGGGATCAAGTTTTAGATCAAATAGAATATGCATTTAATAATACGATTTGTCGATCAACGGGGGAAACCCCCAGTAAACTATTATTTGGCGTAGAACAACTCGGTAAAGTTAACGATAAACTTAAACTAGTTTTAGATACTGATACTAGTCGAGATCTAGTGTTATTAAGAGAAGCTGCCTCTGAAAAAATTCAGAAGAGTCAGAAAGAAAACGAACGCTATTATAACAAGAAACACAAAGAAGCGAAACAATATAAAGAGGGCGACTACGTAATGATCCGTAATGTGGACACTTCTGTCGGTACCAATAAAAAACTCATACCAAAGTATAAAGGGCCTTACGTTGTAAAGCGAGTGCTAGGTTCTGACCGTTATGTAATAACCGATGTCGAGGGATTTCAAGTCACTCAAATGCCCTATAATAGCGTCATTGCCGCCGACGCGATGCGACCATATATATCCAAATAAATATGACTAATCAGTATGTTTATTTAGTCCATAAGAAATGTTTATTTTATCCGGCGTTACTTAATATGTTGGATATATTTACTTAATACGTTTTCTTCCTATACGTACGACCGAGACGGTCGTAATGTCAGGCTGGCCGACTGTAGGCGAATTATTATTCTACCGATATTCATTTATATACACGCGTGAGCGGCGAATTGCGTCTCCGCTCCCCCCCCTCTACCGCTGGCGGCGCTGCGTAAGAAAGAAGAGAAAAGGTGAAGAAGTCAGTTCCCCGCGGAGAGAGAGAGCCGTTGGACCGAGATAAACGGCAGTGAGCCGTCGTGCGTGTTCTATCGAGTACAGTTTAACCTAATAAAGATCCTTTGTTAAGATCCACTAGAAGCCTTATTAGAATTACGCCCTGACATCATCTAAAACTATCCTGACACCACCTACACTTTGTAATTCTTTTTTAAATATTATGTATTAAGGCGATGCTGACCATGATGTTTTACCGATTTTGAGTTCAAGTGCTTATTTTTTTTTATTGGCTATTATACAGATTGAAAAATTTTTTTCCACGGGGAGTAGTGTAATTTCGTATAAAAAACAATAACAATAAATTTAAAAATTACAGTTTTTTTATAGGCCTCTTGCATCAGCTCATAACAATACTTATTTAATACAAAAATGCTGCAGTTTATTTATGCACAAAATATGGCGCTCCCAATAGAGATGGCATGAAAGAATAATACAGAAGTAATAAAAATGAGATTAAAAGCATGTATCAAAAGCATGTAGCAAAAAATTCGTACTTGAATTAATTATGTATGTATATTTGCGTGCGAAATTGATGTCGAGGCATAAAACAGCAAAACTTAGTTGCCGGACAGCGCTTCCCATTTATTATTATCAGTACTTTCATTGTGGAGAATTTTTCAATCTGTATATTCAATAAAAAGTGAACGATCTATATAACCTAATTTAAAGTCGATAAAACAGTACAATGGTAGCATCCCCTTAATATAACTGAAGAAGACTTTAAAAATTATTTATTTATTGTATAAAATAATATAAAATTATATTTAAAAATTAGAATATATTATAAATTTAAAATTTAATATTAGAGAAAAAGAAAAAAGGAAAGGAAAATTTAAATATTATTATTTAATTATATTATATAAAATAATTAGAGATGAGTGTACACAGACAAGTTTGTCGCGCATAATATATGCGCCTGATTTTTATTTATTCTTTTTATACCTATAATCTTCCGTAGAATGTCGCGATGCAAGAATGATCCTTACGTTTCAGGATCGCGCAATTACACTTCACATTGAATCTTGTATTTACATACATATTTGTATGTATAATATGTATATGTATATATGTGTATATTTGTAGTAAATATTCATATGTGTTTTTAATCCCTATTTAGACTAATCTGCCCTTTATTGTGAGTCATATGCCCGTCACCACCTCGCTTAAGACTGTGGTGCACATCGCTCAGATAATCCAATCGGGTACGGCTCGTGAATATGACTACGGTGCCACGAAAAATCTCTTGATATATAAATCAGTGGAACCTCCAGAGTACGATTTATCGAAAGTCGCGGTACCGATAGCGTTATACTACGGCAAAAACGACTTGTTTGTGGATCCTATTGTAAGTAAATTGAAAAAAGTATTTATATTTATTTGATAAATAGTGTAGAAATTATTAGATTTTATAGTATAGAGATTGTAACTTGACTTTGTATATATGTAGATAAAATTTCGTATTTTCACAACCGGAAATATAGCTTAAAAGAAATTACCGTGCATAATTCAAAAATGGTTTTTTCAAGGATGTGAAGAGATTGTACAATGCACTGCCCAACGTGATAGATATTTACGAATTGCCCAATTTTAATCATATGGACTTTATATTTGCAAAAGATGCGCCAAAGCTTTTGTACGAAAGAGTTTTGAAATTCATGAAAGGGAAATATTCAAACAATGTAACAACGATATGATAATAAAATACATTGATGATCTGTATATTGCACGCTAAATTCCAGTAATGAACACGATTGATGTCACTTGCATTAATTTCAATTAAACAAGCTCATAATATAATTTAGCATTGTTTAAAATTTGTACTTTCGAACTAACAATAACAATTTATTAATTTCTTAATTTCTCAATAGCCGGTATTAATCGATAAATATTTATTGCTTACATAAACAAATTATAAATAAAAAAAATTAAATAATTTAATTCTGTGATTTAGAATACTCAAAAATATCGTTCGCTAGTTGTCTTTTTATATTATATTATTATAATTTTAGCAATTTATAAATGTTTTATACATATATTGAATTATATATTATAGATATATTGAATTACATAATTATTATATCTTCATATAATATATGAAAATTAACTAACGTAGACTATTGAATCACTGAACGTGGTTAATAACGCAGAGAGAGGGTGCATTCTCTCTTTCTATCAATATATAATTAATTTTTTCCATTGGCATAATATTACACGTCATCGATGCAGTATTAATAAATAAAGGACAGAATGTTAATGCGCTCAGTTGTCATTATTCATTTCGCTTACTTATTTTCTGCCTTTCTTCGATAATAGATATTCCGATATTCCAAAAAACTCTCTCGAGTTTCCGTTTTCATTCACTGTTTAGCATTGTTAATTATGGATGGAATAAGATTGATAGGGTTTATATGTTTGCTGTCGTTTTACGGTTGTCTTGATGGAGATGCGACCACCGAGCCAAACGAGCCCGTGGAAAGAATAATTCAATCTAGAAGGAACAACGCTGAGCACAATTCTAATTCAATTCTCAGCACTGTAAGTACACACTTTTAACTAATTAAAATGAGGATTAAAGTTTTTATTAAATAATGATTGAAATGATTTGGTATGATGTATCAATCCGCCAGTATAATTGTAAACCACAATTAAGTATTAACAAAGATGCAATTTAATTCGAACTGGCTATTCATTTATTGAAAATAAGTACACACTACGTTTCAACCCATATTGTGGTCCTTTTCAAGTGCTAGTTCTATTTTTAATTAATGTAATTGCTGAATAAGAACAAGTATGTATTACAGATCAAATTTAGTATTAATGTAATGTTAATTTTGCTTGCCAAATTATGTATTTTTGTTTTCTAGCACTTGAAAAGGACCACAATGTGGGTCGAAACGTAGTGTGTACTTATTTTCAATAAATGAATAGCCAGTTTTTGGTCGAATTAAATTGCATCTTATTATTTGTTAAAATTTTATCACTAGCAATCAACAATTAATTGGGACAATTAAGTATGTATGTAATCATAAAAAACGACTAATACTGGACAAATAATTTCTTTATTGAAATCAAATTAACATGACGTTTCGACCTGTGGTTTAGATCATTTTCAAATGCAGTAATAATTGAGATGACATAACAAGTACAGCGATGAAAAAAAACTTATAACATGTATCACAAATATAAAAATATAAAAATATATCAAATTAAACGTGTCTAAAAAGACGTCTCGTCAATACAAAGTGTGTCCAAATAATTTATTATTTTTATTTGGACACGTTCTGTATTGACGAGACGTCTTTTTTTAGAATCGATTTAAAAAATACATTAAAAATTACTATGGTTCTATTTTAAAAATTCAAGATTATTTTACCTGGACTTTGTAATACTATCCAAAGTCCAAATAATGAGATCAGTAAATAAATGTTTTCAAACTACAATTTTTATTTGAAATATTTTTTTATAAAGCTTATTTTTTTCAAGACCGAAATCTCGATCTTTATGAACGATGAATTGAACTATTTTAAAAATTCAAGATTATTTTACCTGGATTTAGTAATACTATCCAAAGTCCAAATAATGAGATCAGTAAATAAATGTTTTTGAACTACATTTTTTATCTAAAACATTTTTTTATAAAACTTTTTTTCAAGACCAAAGTCTCGATCTTTATAAACGATGAATTGAACACTTTGTACGTAATGATTGCATGCAACTGCTATATAATAGCTACTTACACATTCAATGTTATAGTGTTGCTTATCACAATATATTCCTTTCATTAACTTCTTTATGAGAATATACTACTACACATATATTAACTTCTTTATGTAATACTACATTAATTTATGAGATATATGTATATTTTTCGTGAGGAATAATATACATATATACAGGATGATTCAGAAGTACGAGTGTAAAAACTTTGAAAGATTGTTTGTAAGATCATTCTAAGTATATATAATTTTATAATAAACATATATAGATCCTATCTTTAATATTGTAAGAAGTATAGAAGTTTCAAAATTTTGTTACACTACGAGTAAGTCACGTGATTCGCAGAAAGTGACCTTAAGAAATCAAAATAAAACATCATTTATTTAATAATTAATTTGATCAATAAATATTCAAAATGTGTTCTCTAAGCTTGAATACAGGCATTGCAAACACAAATCAAAGAACCGTATACACGATACATTATTTTGTCATGCGAATTTCATTTGCTTCAATAGTCTTTAAATGCATACTTCCACTGATACATTGTTTCCTTATTTTTACAGCCTGTTTTTCAATAAAGCAAAGTTCAGTTTTCATACTTGGATATTGGTTTGCTGTTTATCTTTCATATAGGTTATTAGATAAGTTTTCTTAATTATTATACGTCATACGCAGTTTCTCTTTCATATATCATTTATTGTAGTCTATTTAATGATTAAAAATTTAGTGATTAAAAATTAATAAATAATTATATGTGTATTTTAATTATAGAATAATCATTAAAATTATTTCAGTTACGAAGATATATGTAAGAGAAAGATATGGACAACAATAAAAAATAATCCTCTACAATTTCTTTCTAAAATAATTTTAATCGAGTTTTACACTTTACTTTGCAAAAATACTTTAATTATCCTATAATCTTTAAATATTATAACTATATGCTTAATTAGATATCATTAATGTATATATTTCATATATTTTAGATTTTATAATAATTCATTATTATTATTACCAAATAATTATTCTTTATATTTATTATATATTATATTTTATATTTATATTGTTACTGCAAAACGCTACATTATTATGAAAATAAATATTATGCTCTCATTTTATTTTGTCTTTTAGCCAGAGATAATAAAAAGAACAGGTTATCCCAGCGAAACTCACGTTGTAACAACAGAAGATGGCTATCTTTTGGCGTTACATCGTATCCCAGGTGGCAACGGCTCTCTACCTGTATTATTGGTACACGGTGCTTTTAGCGATAACACTATTTGGATCGCTCTTGGCAAAGGCAAAGCACTCGGTACGACTTTTTATTTAATCATCAATAAATATAACAGTAATGTCAATCAAGATTACATCATTAATCTTACTTTTAACAAAAAATATCTAAGAGAAAAGTATTGATTTTAAATGGCAAGAAACAAAAAGATTTTAATGCACTCTTAATTGCGTTACATTTTTAATTTATCTTATTTTATAAAATTTCCTGAAATTTAAAAGTTAAATTTTTAAAATTTGTTACATGACAGGTATATATATATATATATATATATCAAGAGACACGGTAGTGTCTCGCGACCAGTTAAGGGCGTAGCGGAGACACCGTGTATCTTAACGCGAGTCGGACATTTGAGTCTTTATAATATTTCGAATCCTCAATAATGGCTGAAGCAATCGAGTTTATACTAGACTTAATCGATAGATTGAGTTCGAATTATATAATAAAAGTGTCTTTATTTCTGCTCTACGTGATTTGTAAGCAGAGATATATAAATGCAAAGTCGAAATATGAAAAATTTCTATTAAGAAACGTCCCCGTCATCATTATCATCATTATCATCATCATTATCATCATCATTATCATCATCGACCACGCATACATAGTAGTATCGTGCTACACGTATTCACACGTATACAACACATGCGCACACATATATCACACGTACACAACACATGCAAGATGCATGTAGTGGTAATTTTGTCCATCTCGCACGTTTTACAACAGATGGCGATAGTGGCGCTCCGCCATATCGGCAGCGTGCGGGGTTATGTTGGCTAACTCTCTCTCTCTCTCTCTCTCTCTCTCTCTCTCTCTCTCTCTCTCTTTCTCACACACACACGCACAACACACACAACTCTCTCATTCTCACTCACTCACTCACTGTTCGTCTTGTGTACTTATTTAGTACATTCATGATCGGCAGCGTGCGGGGTTATGTTGGCTAACTCTCTCTCTCTCTCTCTCTCTCTCTCTCTCTCTCTCTCTCTCTCTCTCTCTCTTTCTCACACACACACGCACACACACACACTCTCTCATTCTCACTCACTCACTCACTGTTCGTCTTGTGTACTTATTTAGTACATTCATGATTAAACATCTATATGCATTAATGTGAAATTTACTTACAATTAGTTTACTTGAAATATTCAATCTCTAAAGTGTTTATCTTATAAGATAGACAAAAAAATCTGAGTAAATAATAAGAAAAAAAAACAAGGATTATTATTGTCATAATTTTTTATCAATTAAGTACTCTCAACTATCCAATAATTAAATAAATACGTACAAATGTGCGCGCGTGTACACACATACACATATTGATATTAAAGAGATTGAAGGAGAGGAAGGAGAAGATAAAAATTTAAATATTCACATATATTTTCAAATATTATATATGAATTTATAGTTTACATATCTAATTAATAATGAATTTCTAATTATATTAAACATATCAAAATAAAGACATACATGTATTTATCAAATGAATAAAATTATTGAATACAGACTTAAAAAATTTATTAAACATAGACTTAAAAAATTAATTAATTAAACATATTCCAAATTTAGAAAAAATAAACTTTATTTATATATGCAACAGCTTTTTAAACTAAATTTTTAAATTCTATTTTATATTAGACAATTATCTCAATCAACATCTACGTCCACATTAGCTGCACTGCAGACTACCTCTACAGCCACATTATCTGCTCCGCGGATATAGCGTTATGCCAATACGATACATTACATGTACTTACTTACTTGCCTTTACTGTACCAACTCTTGTTCTTTCCACGTAATCATGTTTTTACAGTTATCGTTTGCTGTATATCTTCCAGCAAACTTTATTTCGTGTGAAGTGTATTTAATTAATTAAATCTCTGCGAAAGATTGAGAAGATGAAGGGATAATTCAAACTATGAAGACATGGTTACATGGAAAAGACAAGAGTTGATACAATAATAAAGACATACATGTATTTGTATCCTGCTGGCATAAGGTTATAGAAGTTGATTGAGATTGAAATAATAAAAATGAAAATAATAAAAAAAATAAAGACACATGTATTTGTATCGTGCTGGCATAAAGTTATAAAAGTTGATTGAGATTGAAAAATAATAATAAAAATAATTAAAAAAAGGAAATATTCAATCATCATTTAAAAGCATATTTGAAATCTGTAGAATAAACAGTTTTTGCAAAAAATGTGGAGCATTTGAGCTCTAGTAAGTCTAAAAATAAATGTAAACATCAATTAATAATAACTGATGTTATATATATATTATATATATAAACCAATTTGTTGCAATATTCACTATAAAAGGTTGTAAGGGTAAGATGGCTAAAAGTGAATAATTTAAAAGATAGTTAACATAATTTTACATAAACTGAAATATTTCATAAAATAAAATATTTGTAATATTTCGAAGTTTATGTAAGATTATGTAAAAATTATACCTTTACAACTTTTTATAGTAAATATTGCGAGGAATCGATTTATATGAGAAAAATTAAGGTAATTCTATTTTGAAAATATAAGTGACCTTTAAATAACCTTGAAAATCGCCGTTTAGGAAAAAGTCTGTGTCAACTTTTTCTTTTTCGAAATCCTGCAACTTTTATCTAAATTTAATAGAAAATGTATAAAAAATGCTCGACATTAGTACACACACACACACACACACACATACACACACACACACACACATACACACACACACACACACATATGGGTAAATTTATATAAATAGGGTGCTTTAGGAGGAATGATCAGGATTCTAGGATATGATTGTACACATCATTTTAAGCAAAGAAGTTTAGATAAACATGTTTAATAATTGTTCTATTCCGGTCATAAAAATATACAAAAATGAATGATATAATCTCTAAAAACTCACCTTTAAAAAAAGGTAAAAAAGGCGACCAGTTAAGGGCACGCCATTAACAAAAATTATCCATTGCAAACCCATGTAGAATCCTATCCTATTGCAAACCCATGTAGAATCCTATGAAAAATTAATCATTGCAAACCCATGTAGAATCCTAGGCAAAATTAACCATTGCAAACCCATGTAGAATCGTACCCATTGCAAACCTATGTAGAATCCTATGAAAAATTAACCATTGCAAACTCATGTAGAATCCTATGAAAAATTAACCATTGCAAACCCATGTAGAATTGTATTAAAAATTATCCATTGCAAACTTATGTAGAATCCTACATTGCAAACCCATGTACAATAGAATTGTTGTACAATAAAACAATTGTACAATAGAAGTGTGTGTGAGAGAAGAGAGAGAGAGAGAGAGAGAGAGAGAGAGAGAGAGAGAGAGAGAGAGAGAGAGAGAGAGAGAGAGAGAGAGAGTTAGCCAACATAACCCCGCACGCTGCCGATATGGCGGAGCGCCACTATCGCCATCTGTTGTAAAACGTGCGAGATGGACAAAATTACCACTACATGCATCTTGCATGTGTTGTGTACGTGTGATATATGTGTGCGCATGTGTTGTATACGTGTGAATACGTGTAGCACGATACTACTATGTATGCGTGGTCGATGATGATAATGATGATGATAATAATGATGATAATGATGATAATGATGACGGGGACGTTTCTTAATAGAAATTTTTCATATTTCGACTTTGCATTTATATATCTCTGCTTACAAATCACGTAGAGCAGAAATAAAGACACTTTTATTATATAATTCGAACTCAATCTATCGATTAAGTCTAGTATAAACTCGATTGCTTCAGCCATTATTGAGGATTCGAAATATTATAAAGACTCAAATGTCCGACTCGCGTTAAGATACACGGTGTCTCCGCTACGCCCTTAACTGGTCGCGAGACACTACGTGTCTCTTGATTTTCAATTTCTTTGCAACGTTACTGCGCATCACTATCAGCATCGCCTTTTCCGTAGTGCAATAAAAGCTACAGGATATCAACAATATAAAGTGAGTTCAGTTAGAATTATTTATATAGAAATATGTAATATATTTAAATCTCTTTATTTACTTGAATTTCTTTATTATTTTTCTATAGATATATACACCGAGAATTTTCTAATATAAATAATCATAAAATTGATTGTACAAAATGATATTTTAAGAATCATATAAAAGTTTCTTTGATTAAAAAATATATTTATTAAATATATATTTATATCACAATAAAAACAATATTTATATCCTCCACAATAAGATATATTATTTTATATATAAAGATAATTAAAATATAGTCATAGTAGTAGTAGTAGTTATTTTAAAATGTATTAAAAACTATATTAGAAACCTATGATTTTTTAAGTATTTTAATAATCTTTTTAGCTCGTAAACTTTTTACAATTAGGTGTAGACAACAAAATTTGCGAGTATCCTCCTTCTTGTTTAAATTTCAAAGAAAATTACATAAAGTTTTAAAAATTATATCAAATGAAATTTTGTGTCTTCTTATACCCCAAGCTGAACAAAAAATTACAGATTTGCTAAGATAATTTCTTCATAATAATCCATATATTTAAAATGATCGAAGTGTACAATATGTAAAACAAAATCTTTACTTGCTTTGAGTAAAAGTTAAGAAAAATAAAATCCGTGGCAAAACAATATTTTTCTCATTTTCTAATATGAGACAATTATTCACGCTGAAATTGAAAGATATTACATGAATGTATGTTTGCAATATAAATAGTATAAGATGATATAAATTTGAATAAAATATTATTTTTTTAGTTACACAATACAAATAATGAAAAAACAACAAATATAATTAAATAAAAATTTTTTAATACAGACATACATATCCGCAGACACACATATACGTACTCAGGTAAGGAGAATTATGATAAACACAAGACGAGAGAGACACACACCAATACATAGACGTACATGAAAATAAATGTAAATACAATAATACTGATAGACGTTTCGAGACTCTCGCACATTTTCAATACCATATAAATTACCGAAACAAACAGACGATTGTTGCCATACAGTAAATTTATATCGAACATTACTTTTCAATCTCTTTGCAACGTCTCTGCGCATCACTATCGCCTTTTCCATAGTTCAATTAAAACTACAAGATATCAACAATATAAAGTGAGTTCAGTTAAAATTATTAATGTAGAAATATGTATTACTTCAAATCTGTTCATTGTCTTGAATTACCTTATTATTTTTCTATTGATATACAGGATGTCCGGTAACTAACGGACCAACGATTACAAGTGGATTCTTTGGTTAATTTGGGAACGATTTTTCCTCAGCAAAAATGTCGAAAAAGGTCATCATTTTTTACAACTTTCCAATATTTGTCATTATGTATCTTTATAACTAACAATAAGCCTCAAATTAAAATTTTATTATAGTAAACTCTACCTGAAATTAACTGAAGAATGTAATTATGTTAGACTTTTAACTCCAAAACGTTTAGTTTTCAAAAAACCCATTTTTTTCAATCGCTTATAACTCGAAAATTATTGACTTCTCAACATTTTTGTTAAAGAAAATCGTCTTCAAATTGGCCAGAGAATCCGCCTTTAATCATTGGTCCGTTAGTTACCGGACATCCTGTATACATCGAGAATTTCTCTTATAAATTATCGTGAAATTGATGGTAATCACGGAACAAAATAAAGTTTCAAGAATTTTATAAAAGTTTTTTTGATTAAAAAATATATTTATTTTAAATATATATTTATATCACAATAAAAAATATTGATATCCACGACAATAAGATATAAATTAATTTTACTGAAATATATAGTAGTATATATTTTATATATAAAGATAATTTAAAATATATTAAAAACTATATTAGAAACCTATAATTCTTTAAGTATTTTAATAATTTTTTAAACTCGTAAACTTTTTACAAATAGGTGAAAACAACAAAATTCGCGAGTATTCTTCTTTTTGTTAAAATTCCGATAAGAAGTTACATAAAGTATTTTAAAAAATTATAGCAAATAAAATTTTGTGTCTTCTTATACCCCAAGCTATACAAAAAATCACAGATTTGCTGATAAGATAATTTGTTCATAATAATTGGTATGTTTAAAATAATCGAAGTGTACAATATGTAAAAAAAGTCTTTACTTGCTTTGAGTAAAAGTTAAGAAAAATAAAATCCGTGGCAAAACAATATTTTTCCCATTTTCTAATATAAGACAATTATTCACGCTGAAATTGATAGAGATTACTTGAATATATATTTGTAATATAAATAGTATAAAATGATAAAAATTTGAATAAAATATTATTTTTTAGTTATACAACACGAATAATAAAAAAACAATTAATATAATTAAATAAAAATATTAAGATACAGACATACATATACGCAGAAAAACATATATGTACTTAGGTAAGCAAAATTATAATAAACATAAGACAATGAGACACACACCAATACACAGACGTACATGAAAATAAATGTAAATATAACGATACAATAATACTGATAACTATTTCGAGACTCTCGCACATTTTCAGTACCATATAAATCACCGGAACGAACAGACGATCGTTGCCATACAGCAAATTTATAGCGAACATTACTTCTCTAATTCTTTGAGACGTCACTGCGTATCAGTATCCCTATCGCTTTTCCGTAGTTCAATTAGAACCACAAGATATCAACAAAATATTTGTTAGTTTACTAAGAATTATTTATATAACAGATATCTAAATCTGTTCTTTGTCATGAATTTCTATATTATTTGTGTATAGATATATACACGGGTGTTGTAAAAGAATTGGTGTCACAGCATAAAATATCCTGTGACAGGTATCTTTAATTGTTTCCATAGCACGTACACAACTGTTTCTTGCGAGAGAATCAGTTCAGAAGAAATTAATTAATTTAATAAATAGTGTTTTTCAACAATATAATCGATATTGTGTAACAATGTATGACCCAGTTACAGCGGTCAACATCATACAGTTAAAATATTATGTATCGTCATTCTGCGTTACTTCGCAGATACCAATATTTTTACATTTTTTTACACTTAATTTATGGTAAATGTATCTTTTGCAATTTTAAATTATTACAGATCGTTGACCTCGTCAGTCTGTACTAGTCGAGATATTGTGTAACAATATTGCCATCCGTGAATAGAGATAATGTTAAACGTGAACCTATGTCTGATCTTTATTTTGAGATGCATTCTAACGCTTCAAATACTCAATCAACCTGTCTTTGGTAACCACACAGGTAAGACTTTTATTTACTAGATGTGGTCAGTGTTGTGTTTAAATAATATTTAAATTAACTTCATAAAGCTGAGATGAAAATATGTAAATTTATCTTAGATAAAGTAAAGGTGATTATGTTTTAAATATATCTAGATAAACAATAAAATTATGTGGCAAATAAAATAAAGGTGATTATGTTTTAAATAATTATGGTAAATAAAATAAAGGTGATTATGTTTTAATCATATCTAGATAAACGATAAAAATATGTGGTATTCATCTAAATAATTTTCTGATAATATTATTTTTAAGACCGTTTATGTAAATACAAATAATATAATAAATATAAATTATAAATGGTATGTATAAAAATATATTCATATTTTTATTTATAAATTGTTATCGTTTACTTAAGCTTTATTACTTAAGTATCTTTATATGTTATGACTTTAAACCAAATTAGTCTAGATAATTTAATAAAGATAGCATTTTTTTATCTAAGATGCAGCTATAGACATATATAAAAACATATTTTTATTATCTGTATAAAGATAAAATGATGTCAAAATTTCATCTCGATCATCTACATAATTTTATTCAAATAACAGCAAATACGGGCTATGACTCTCAATTAAATTATTTGATCATTATTCTAGATAATTTATTAGTAATAATAACACTTAATTCTTTTCATCTAAGATACAGATATACATAATATATATTTTTATTATTTATCTAAAGAAAAAATAACGTCAAAATTGCATCTATATAATTTTATTTAGAGAACAGAAAACATTGGCGACATACTTATTGCTTAAGTTATACTAATTAATTATTTTTATGCTATGACTCTAAATCAAATTATCTGAATAATTTAGTAAAGATAACCCTTTTTTCATCTAAGATACAGATATAGAAAATATATATTTTTATTATTTATCTAAAGACAAAATAACAAAATCTTATTTAGATGATCATTTATATAATTTTAATTAGATAAGTAAATACTGTAGTTGGTATATAATTCAAGAAAAAGAAGCCTAAAATGTAACATTGTTCCGTTATGGAAAGCATTCAAAGCTCTCTAATACAGAAAGCTTTCCAGCGGAAAACGTGCACTTAACCATACAAAAAGTCGCGCGATCGGTTACCGAATAGAATAATTTCCAATTTTAAAAAATTCCCTATTTTACAATCAATTGCACATTGAATTTATTTATTTCTCCTTGAAAGCCTCCGGGAAAGTTTCTCCGCAGGCAAGTGTATTATCGCTTCAGCGTGTGTGGACCGCTATTTTTATTTGTTTCCGCAATTCCGCGAAATTTGCATTTATATAATGCGCATCGTGCACACCGCAATATTCTTCGGGCATACCTCGGAAAACACAATGGCAAGACGCAATAGCAAGTTTTCATATAACGCCTCTCCGTTGCCCCTAATGCTGCGCGCGCGTAATATCACCCGTGTGAAAATTTAAAATCGCGGATGCATAGCTACGAGCCAGTTCGTCTAGACGCGAATTAGCATCAATATATAGTAAGCCTATAGTCAGTACTTGCCTCTATGTGTAACATTGTGGTAATCTAGCTTTTAGATACGTATATTATTCAGGCGCTAGCTAACATTTGGTAAAAAATAACACAGGAAAATTGTGCGTCGGGTAGATAACACGAATTTTATAAAAATATGTATATATATTGGGTGTCCTAAAATTACCAAATACCCAGATAATAAGGAGATTGCTGAGGTCATTTGAAGACAATTTTTTCTCGGCAAAAATGTCGAGGCACCAATAATTTTTGAGTTATAAGCGATTGAAAAAAATTAAGCTTTTCGTTAAATTATAACGTAAAGCTTATTATATCTTATTATTATACATTATTACTTATTATAAATTAAGCCTTGTGAAAATGAAATATTAATACAACCACATTTTTTATTTTAATAGAATTTTAATTTAAGATTTAGTTACAAAGATATGTGTATATGGCAAAAATTGGAAACATGCAAAAAATGATGACCTTCCTTTCGAAATTTTTGCTGAAGAATGTAATTTTGAGATACTCTGTATATATAATTCTATATACCTAATATATATTTCCTTTTTCAAAGAAATGACATTGAAAAGAATCCGTTCGTTGATATTGTTGTACATATATCTTGTGTAATAAAGTATATTAGTTGTTGTAAGACAGCAAAATGATTTTTAAGGAAAATTAATTTTGTTAAAAAAAAATTCTATATCTGCGACAAGACAAATTTTGTTTACAATATCGAAGAATTTGTTAATAGTAGTCCAATTGCCTTTACAAAGATATATTTCATAAGAGTGACGTTTTTCTTGTAGCACACAAAATAATTATCTATTTATAATATCTTCATATTTATCAAGATACCAACTCTATATTGACATCGCGTAGCTTTTGGATCACGATAAGCAAATTCTATATATGTTTATATATAAATACTTATTTATCGTAATAATATAGCCAGAGCATAAATTTTTCAGGACCACTCAAAACAGTAAAAGTAAATGTGTCTGAAGGGACATTAGTCGGCATCGTTGAGGTAAACGTCTATGGCGATTCTTACAATGCCTTTCGTGGAATACCATATGCTAAACCTCCAGTGGGTGATCTCAAATTTCGAGTAAGTACAGAGAATGGTTATTGAATATTATTATCTTGATTATTGAAATATTACTATCTTTGTTAAAAGATTTACTTTGACAAGTGATACAAACTGTTTATTGGATAATCTTATAAAATACTAGCTTTTCGGACCGCGCTTCGCGCGGTTCTCATATAGCCTATATTATCCGTTTTAACACAAAAAATTAATTCTTTTTTTTATATTACCGCGAACTACTTTCACATTTGTGGACCGAGTTTCGTGAAACTGGTACCAAAATGTAAAATAATAATTCTTATTTATTTCTATCTTTAAGACACGATATGTTAAAAAAATTTTTTAAATTAAAAAAACCACCATTTCATCACACTCCTTAAAAAATTTGCAACTTATATATATATAGATATAAATAGATATCCAATTTCGAGAAAATTAATCAATAAATGTACGAATGCGTGGGTGGATGCGTATGTAGTATTGTAAAACTTAAAAAAAACACATAGTAGTGATCCCCGAAAAATATGCAAAATTTTGGTACCAGTTTCGAGAAAATCGATCTATAAATGTGTTGGTGCGTGGGTGGTCGCGTAAGTGTGTGAACATTAACAAAAATTATCCATTGCAAACCCATGTAGAATCCTATCCTATTGCAAACCCATGTAGAATCCTATGAAAAATTAATCATTGCAAACCCATGTAGAATCCTAGGCAAAATTAACCATTGCAAACCCATGTAGAATCGTACCCATTGCAAACCTATGTAAAATTCTATGAAAAATTAACCATTGCAAACTCATGTAGAATCCTATGAAAAATTAACCATTGCAAACCCATGTAGAATTGTATTAAAAATTATCCATTGCAAACTTATGTAGAATCCTACATTGCAAACCCATGTACAATAGAATTGTATGAAAAATTATCGATTATAAACCCATGTACAATCGTAACAAAAGTAATGAAATAAAAAAAAAATTGCGCCAAGTGAAAGTAGAAACTTGTACCAGTGGAAAATTAAAGTTGCAGACATATATAGAGTCGTATAATGAATCAGTAAAAATTTAAATTTGCAAATGTAGAATCGTACCATAAAAAAACTTATCTTTTAAAAAAAAGATAAACAAGATGCCAAGTCCATGCGCCATGTGAAAAAGAAATAAAAAAATTTTAGTTAAAAAAACTGGGAGCGCTGCTAAATAATATTCTAACAATATTAAAATTAAATTGTTACTTTTAAACTCATTACAGTGAAAATATGTTTTGTGTTTAAATTAATTAATGTTACTTTAAGGTGCATTGTAATTTTGAAACTTAGCAGCGCGCCCAGTTTTTTTAATTAAAATTTTTTTATTTCTTTTTCACATGGCGCATGGACTTGGCATCTTGTTTATCTTTTTTTTTAAAAGATAAGTTTTTTTATGGTACGATTCTACATTTGCAAATTTAAATTTTTACTGATTCATTATACGACTCTATATATGTCTGCAACTTTAATTTTCCACTGGTACAAGTTTCTACTTTCACTTGGCGCAATTTTTTTTTTATTTTATTACTTTTGTTACGATTGTACATGGGTTTATAATCGATAATTTTTCATACAATTCTATTGTACATGGGTTTGCAATGTAGGATTCTACATAAGTTTGCAATGGATAATTTTTAATACAATTCTACATGGTTTTGCAATGGTTAATTTTTCATAGGATTCTACATGAGTTTGCAATGGTTAATTTTTCATAGAATTTTACATAGGTTTGCAATGGGTACGATTCTACATGGGTTTGCAATGGTTAATTTTGCCTAGGATTCTACATGGGTTTGCAATGATTAATTTTTCATAGGATTCTACATGGGTTTGCAATAGGATAGGATTCTACATGGGTTTGCAATGGATAATTTTTGTTAATGGCGTGCCCTTAACTGGTCGCCTTTTTTTACCTTTTTTTAAAGGTGAGTTTTTAGAGATTATATCATTCATTTTTGTATATTTTTATGACCGGAATAGAACAATTATTAAACATGTTTATCTAAACTTCTTTGCTTAAAATGATGTGTACAATCATATCCTAGAATCCTGATCATTCCTCCTAAAGCACCCTATTTATATAAATTTACCCATATGTGTGTGTGTGTGTGTGTGTGTGTGTGTGTGTGTACTAATGTCGAGCATTTTTTATACATTTTCTATTAAATTTAGATAAAAGTTGCAGGATTTCGAAAAAGAAAAAGTTGACACAGACTTTTTCCTAAACGGCGATTTTCAAGGTTATTTAAAGGTCACTTATATTTTCAAAATAGAATTACCTTAATTTTTCTCATATAAATCGATTCCTCGCAATATTTACTATAAAAAGTTGTAAAGGTATAATTTTTACATAATCTTACATAAACTTCGAAATATTACAAATATTTTATTTTATGAAATATTTCAGTTTATGTAAAATTATGTTAACTATCTTTTAAATTATTCACTTTTAGCCATCTTACCCTTACAACCTTTTATAGTGAATATTGCAACAAATTGGTTTATATATATAATATATACAGGGTGTGTATTTTAAGTAATAAGAATAAGTCCACAAAAAATAATTTATTAGAGATATCGCTACAAAACTTTAGTAGTTTTCAAAATATGCTCCTTGAGCATCAACACACTTCTGCAGGCGACGTTTCCACGCTTCGTACGCTCCCTGGAAGTCACCAACCGAAACATCCTTCAGAGCATGCGTGCAAGCCCTTTTGACAACATCCAGGGTCTCGTGGTGGCGCCCTTTGAGGGCGGTTTTCACTTTGCGGAAGAGGAAAAAGTCTGCTGGGGCAAGGTCGGGGCTGTAGGGAGGCTGTGGAATTGTTACGATGCCATTTTTTGTCAAGTGCTCGGTAACCACGAAGCAGGTGTGAGATGATTTTGTGCACAACCATTTTATCCATTCCTAGCGTTTCTGCGATCATGCAAACACTTAAACGCCGGTCCGTGTTCAGCAAATGTCGCACACGTTGTTCGTTTTCTGCGGTTCTTGATGTTGACGGGCGACCTGCACGGGGCTCGTCCTCCACGCTCTCCCGGCCTTCTTTAAACATTTTGTGCCATCTAAAAACTTGAGCTTGCGATAAGCTTTCCCTGCCGTACGCTTGCTGAATCGTTTCCAGCGTTGATGCACCCGATTTTCCAAGGCGAACGCAAAATTTGATTGCGTAACGCTGTTCAATGCTTTGTTGCATTTTGAACTTGCACACACTTTTTGAAGACGTCTACGCCACGCGTGATCCTGCCTCAACCAAAGCCAGCAGGCGACCGCCGATTGGAGCGTTATCAAGGTCAAAGGCCCCACGACTCCAACCGGTCGGAGCGCCCTCTGGCGTACAGCCGCGTCAGGACAAAAATATTCTCATTACTTAAAATACAAACCCTGTATATAACATCAGTTATTATTAATTGATGTTTACATTTATTTTTAGACTTACTAGAGCTCAAATGCTCCACATTTTTTGCAAAAACTGTTTATTCTACAGATTTCAAATATGCTTTTAAATGATGATTGAATATTTCCTTTTTTTAATTATTTTATTATTATTTTTCAATCTCAATCAACTTTTATAACTTTATGCCAGCACGATACAAATACATGTGTCTTTATTTTTTTTATTATTTTCATTATTATTTTTCAATCTCAATCAACTTCTATAACCTTATCCTGCCAGCAGGATACAAATACATGTATGTCTTTATTATTGTATCAACTCTTGTCTTTTCTATGTAACCATGTGTCTTCATAGTTTGAATTATCCCTTCATCTTCTCAATCTTTCGCAGAGATTTAATTAATTAAATACACTTCACACGAAATAAAGTTTGCTGGAAGATATACAGCAAACGATAACTGTAAAAACATGATTACGTGGAAAGAACAAGAGTTGGTACAGTAAAGGCAAGTAAGTAAGTACATGTAATGTATCGTAATTGGCATAACGCTATATCCGCGGAGCAGATAATGTGGCTGTAGAGGTAGTCTGCAGTGCAGCTAATGTGGACGTAGATGTTGATTGAGATAATTGTCTAATATAAAATAGAATTTAAAAATTTAGTTTAAAAAGCTGTTACATATATAAATAAAGTTTATTTTTTCTAAATTTGGAATATGTTTAATTAATTAATTTTTAAGTCTATGTTTAATAAATTTTTTAAGTCTGTATTCAATAATTTTATTCATTTGATAAATACATGTATGTCTTTATTTTGATATGTTTAATATAATTAGAAATTCATTATTAATTAGATATGTAAACTATAAATTCATATATAATATTTGAAAATATATGTGAATATTTAAATTTTTATCTTCTACTTCCTCTCCTTCAATCTCTTTAATATCAATATGTGTATGTGTGTACACGCGCGCACATTTGTACGTATTTATTTAATTATTGGATAGTTGAGAGTACTTAATTGATAAAAAATTATGACAATAATAATCCTTTTTTTTTTTTTTCTTATTATTTACTCAGATTTTTTTGTCTATCTTATAAGATAAACACTTTAGAGATTGAATATTTCAAGTAAACTAATTGTAAGTAAATTTCACATTAATGCATATAGATGTTTAATCATGAATGTACTGAATAAGTACACAAGACGAACAGTGAGTGAGTGAGTGAGAATGAGAGTGTGTGTGTGTGTGTGTGTGTGAGAGAGAGAGAGAGAGAGAGAGAGAGAGAGAGAGAGAGAGAGAGAGAGAGAGAGAGAGAGAGAGAGTTAGCCAACATAACCCCGCACGCTGCCGATATGGCGGAGCGCCACTATCGCCATCTGTTGTAAAACGTGCGAGATGGACAAAATTACCACTACATGCATCTTGCATGTGTTGTGTACGTGTGATATATGTGTGCGCATGTGTTGTATACGTGTGAATACGTGTAACACGATACTACTATGTATGCGTGGTCGATGATGATAATGATGACGGGGACGTTTCTTAATAGAAATTTTTCATATTTTGACTTTGCATTTATATATCTCTGCTTACAAATCACGTAGAGCAGAAATAAAGACATTTTTATTATATAATTCAAACTCAATCTATCGATTAAGTCTAGTATAAACTCGATTGCTTCAGCCATTATTGAGGATTCGAAATATTATAAAGACTCAAATGTCCGACTCGCGTTAAGATACACGGTGTCTCCGCTACGCCCTTAACTGGTCGCGAGACACTACCGTGTCTCTTGATAGAGTGGTAAAAATTAAAGAAAACACATATTATCGATCCCTGATAAATATTCGAAGTTTTGGTACGAATTTCGAGAAAATCGGTTTATAAATTTATTGATGCGTGGGTGGTTGCGTGGGTGAGTAAATAGAGTGTTAAAAATTTTTTAAAATCATATATTGACCATCTCCGACAAATTTACAAAATTTAGTACAAATTTCAAAAAACTTTGTGAATAAATGTGTGAATGCGTGGGTAGATGCGTGATTAGAATAAAATTTAAAAAAGCCACACAACAGTTTTCTCAGAAAAATTTGCAACATTTTTGTACCAATTTCGTGAAAATTTGTCAATAAATCCGCATGCGCGTGAGTGAATGCGTGGGCGGAGATGTAACACTTGAAAAAACTACATCGTCGCCATCTCCGAAATATTTGCAACATGGGTGGGTTCGTGGGTGGAGGCGTAAACTTAAAAAAATAAAACAGCAGTTTTCTCAGAAAAATATGCAACATTTTGATACTAATTTCGTGAAAATTGGTCCATAAATGCGCATGCGTGTGGGTAAATGCGTGAGTGGGTGCGTGAGTAAAAGTGTAACACTTGAAAAAACCGCATCGTCGCTATCTCCAAAAAATTTGCAACATTTTAATACCATGTGTTCAGAAATATTGCAAAAAAAGATTCTTTTTGCAAAAACATACACTCCTCTGAAAAAAAAAAAAATAAAAAAATTAATAAAAAAAACCCCACAGCAGCCACCCCCAAAAAATTTGCAACATTTTGGTACCAGTTTCACGAAAATCGGTCCACAAATGCGGAAGTAATTCGCGTAATGACAGACAGACAGACAGACGATGCTTATATATATAGATAAAAGATACAAACATTTACAAAAATTAGAAATAAAATCTAGTTATACAGGAGAAATGATCTTTTACAGAATTTTAGGACATAATTGTACATATTATTTTAGACAAAAAAAATTATTATAAACATGTCTTATTTTTTTTGGACAAAAATATTACTAGTGTTTAGTTTTAAGAATGACTACATTCATTAACTTATTAGAATCTTTATAAAATTTTAAACTTGCAATACATTTGAATAATTATTTTAATTAATAAACATTTTTCAATTAATTAATAATAATTTTGGCATGAATTAATATGAACCATTTTAGTTACATCAAGAATAAAAAATTTGAAATCAACATAGGACTTATTGAAGGTAATGTTTACAATAATTTCATATAATTTTTTCATAGCATTTAATTTTATTAAATTAACAAATATTGTATCTTTGTTCTTAAATTTGAACATTATATCTTCATAACAGTTCAAAATAGGACACATTTTTATTTAAACTGTTTTGCTTAAAATGATTTATACAATCGAGTTCTAGAATGCTGACCATTCCTTCTGAACATCTTGTATATACATAAATTGTTAAAAATTAATAAAATTTCTCATTAATGTAATAAGAGAAAAATTTTTTACGTTTAAAATTTATAAGAAATGCATTATAATTACAATGTACAATTATATAAATACTCTAAAGTGCAAACGTGCCGTGTGAAATTAAACGATCCGTTTTTAGTATAAATTAATCCCCTCGTTGCATTGTTCTTGTAACTAAAGCGTGTAAAAATACTTGAGCCATAGAACTTAAGCGATAAAGCAAATCGATCAATCACTGTTCTAATCTGCCATTCTTGAAAAGATTAATTGATTGCTTACAAAGTTCTACCGGTTAAATTTTTCTACCTAATATATATATATATATATATATATATATATATATATATATATGTGTGTGGCTTTAAGGAAATGAGCGCGTACAAGATACGCAATACAATAAATTTATGCAAACCAAAGTTTTCATAGCTGTTGTTCGTATATTCCAAAGTTTCTTGCCATGTGCGGCGTTCTATGCATCATCGCGACAGGTAGAGAAGACTGGGGTTGGTTATGGCATTTGTGAGAAATTTGATGCTACATTTTATCTAAACAACATGTATTTTTTTATGTTACGGTTATGAGGTGTAGTATAATTTAACTTCAAAATGCGATAAAGAATGCAAAAATAAGTTTCGTGAAACTAAGAAATATTAAATAATTTTATGCCAGTGTAAATTTGGCAGTGTAACTTTCACACCGGCCATGGGGTTAGTTGTGACATGATACAGGGTAAAAAGTGACAGCAACCGTTTCATTATTTGAATGATTTATTTTACTTAAACAATAATAATGTCAATTAACGTTCTTATATCATATAAGCAGCCTTTCATTTTTAATTAATATAAACAAATTTAATAACATTACACTTCTCAAACAAAATACAAAAATAACTTGTCAAAAAAAAATTGTTTTACTTCTTCTTATACTAATTATAAAAACTTAACATGTTTACAAATGTTTCATTGAACATTGTAATTAAGCTCTATAAACAAAATGAATCGATTTGATATATATTAATCACAAGTAGATATTAATTAGAATCATTATCGGAATCACAATTTCTGCAAAGAAAATACTTTTTTGTAACTTTTAACACTGTAATCAAAATTGAACATTTAAGACGTAATCAAAAAGTTTGAGAGAATTTTTGCGTTATAACTCTGAATTTTCTTCAATCTTAATTGTATAAAATACACATACAATGCAAAACCATTTCTAAAATATCAATATAAACAAAATAAGACCAAAATTACAAATAAAATAAAAAGTTACAAACCTGCTATTTTTCACTACCATATATATGTAAGCGTTAGGTGATGTCGATAACGCGTTTAATATATAATACGCAGTAGTCGATATTGCCAACATTTAACGCTTTCTAGCGTTTTTTTAGACGGTTTATTTACCTATTTTTTTATAAGAGTAACATTTAAACCCTGTAACGTTCAGTCCCAGTCTCTTCCCTACTTTTCGAAAGTGGAAAAATATAGAAATGTGAAAAATATAGTAACATCGTTTAAATTTTATTTTTATAGAAAAACACGCACTCTTAGAAAATAATAACTTTTAGAAACTTTTAAAAAATTAGGAAAATAATATCCACTCGTGACCTCATGCAATATCGAATAGATGTAGACAAAAAAAATGAATCGATAATTCATTACTTCATTAATTTTTTTAAATACTAAACTAACAAAAGCGCGTTACAAGCGCGCGCCACATTTCTCAATTTTATATTAACTTTTAATACTTTAGGAATTACAAAAAATACTTTTTTTGTAATATTTATATTATTCTTTCTAATATTAGTTTAATTCTTCATAATACTATTTTTGTTTTTCTTAATATTAGTTTTATTATTCCTAATATTAATATTATTATTGATAAGATTAGTATTATTTTTTTTAATATTAATATAATATTATTCCTCAGGTTAGTTTTATTTTTCTTCAAATTAATTTTATTTCTCCAAATATAAATTTTTAATATTAGTTAAATGACAACAACAGAAAAATTGCAGTAATTCCCTCACAAAAAATTAAAAAAAATTTGTAGTGCTCTGCATTTAAGCATCCAAACAATTATAAAGATTTTCTTACATAATATATATTCAGCTTAATCATATTTATTCAAGTGTTATTATACATAACTGTATAAAAATCAGACATTTCACAATAAAAGTTTAGTTTGCGATTGCAAAACAATCTCGATTACAGATAATTAAAATAAAATCAAATTCAAAACTACTTTAATTTGCCTTTTTTCAGTTTTTGTCGAATTTGTGATATATAATTTATTCTGTAAATATAGATTAAATTTTAATTCTTAATAGCATAACGCAGCATTCGACTAACGATTCTAAAGAGTGTCGAAAAGTTCAAACGACGTCAATTTTCTTTATCGGGTATTCTAAGAACGAAAATTTTCTTTCTCGACGGCTACACGGTGTCTCAAACTAATAAGAATAAAATGTTGCAATTGAGAATGGTAGAAATGTTACATTACGTAAATAATTAGTCGAAGAAAACTGTATAGATCTCTCTCTCTCTCTCTCTCTCTCTCTCTCTCTCTCTCTCTCTCTCTCTCTCTCTCTCTCTCTCTCTCTCTTCTCTCTCTCTCTCTCTCTTTCCCTCTACCATCATTTTCCACTTTCTCCCTCCCATTTCTTCTCTTTTAAATATATACAATAAATAATTTGTCTATTTTATAATGTATAAATAATTTTAAAATCTAAGAATCTAATTTTTTGATTTATGATTATAAATTTACCAACATATTTGAAGAAGAATCAAATCGGTTGAGGACAGTTGTGACATTTTCTTTGTTAGATAAAATTAAGAAAATTTTGTTTTATTATATCTAAATAAAACATAAAACCACATGGCGATTTATCTAAATAACTTCCAGATAATATTGTTTTTAAGATCGCTTATATAGACGCAGTTATAAACAAAAAATGTAAATTATAAATAGGATAAAAAAATAAATTATTTTTACGGCTTATTGCTTAAGTTTAAGCAATTAATTATTTTTATGCTATGACTCTAAACCAAATTATCTGAATATATTAGTAAAGATAACATTTTTCTTTATCTAAAATGCAGATATAGATAATACATATTTTTTATTATCTATATCAAGATGTCGCCAAAATTTCATCTAGCTGATCATTTATAACATTTTATTTAGATAACAAACACTGATTGTAGGATCCGCAACCACCAGAACCATGGTCCAGTGATAGAAACGCTTCGGATAACGGAAACATCTGTCTTCAGATGGACAGAATAAACTTAGTCGTCATAGGAAAAGAAGACTGTCTTTATTTGAACGTGTATACCAACAATGTGACGTCTTCAAAGAAAAGTGCTGTAATGGTGTGGATACATGGTGGAGGCTTTCTTATGGGAGACGGCACTTCGCTTTATTACGGTCCTGATTATATCATGCGGAAGGATGTGGTACTCGTCACCCTGAATTACAGATTAGGTGTTCTAGGTATATTATTAATTAGCTCGAAATCATTTTATGTTATTTGCGTTCGATGATCTACTTTTTTTTAAGTAAACACATAGAACGCATTCTGCTTCCCACAATTCAAATAATTTACGTGTATGTATGGTTTTTTTTAAATACCAATTTTAAAGCAATAACCAATTCTCATAACTTATAACATTTTTAAAAATTTTAACGTTTCATAACTTTCTTCATAAATTTGGTTTTTTTTTAAATAATCGTCGAATTATAAATAATTAAAAAAACTTGTGAAATCAATTTATTTAATCTTTGAAATTGTAATATATTTATATAACTTATATAAATAAAATAGGAATTAAAAATGATAATGATTTAATCGACCAACTCTGGCAAAAAAAGAATTTTATTAAATTTTACAACATTTCGACCGTGGGTTTCAGCCCTTATCAAGTGCTGTAACATAATATTAACAATTATGACTAAAAGGAAATTATAAAATATATAAAAAATTTCACACGTTAATACGCAAACGTACCTATGTTCTTCAAACAAAGTAAATCACAACTTTTTTGGAAAACAATAGTTTGATCTGAGAATATAACATGATATAATAGTATGAAAACGAAATAACTGTGTTGTCGTAACAGTTTTAAGCTCCTTATCAAACTAAACGTTCTTTATTAATTTCTTGTAAACATTATTAAGATTATCCGTGTCTCTTTGTAAATTAATTGTGTTGTCAAATTTTTTGATATAAAACATCTCCGCGGATTTTCGTTTACTAACATATTTTTCATGATGTAAAATTTCTTGTAGAACAAGAATATTAAATAATCGACCAAATTAGCACAAATCAAATTTAGTAAGTTTTACGACGTTTCGAAAAAAGATTGTGGTACTTTTGAAATGAATAACGTTAAAAATCATTCAACCACATGGTCGAAACGTCGTGAAACTATATTAATTTTAATTTGTGCTAGTTTGGTCAACTATTTAATATTCCTTATTTTACTGACTAGAGAATGCGAATATGTAAGTCTTGATAATAAACTTTACTAAACGTATTAACGACATGTTTCTTTTATTCCCTTCTTAGGTTTTCTTAATTTTGATGAGGAAATGGCGACGGGAAATCAGGGCTTAAAAGATGTAGTTATGGCGTTAAAATGGGTTAAAAAAAATATATTGCAATTCGGTGGAGATCCCGATAACGTCACAATTTTTGGTCAAGATGCGGGTGGAGTAATGGTTCACTATCTGACTATTTCACCGTTAGCTGAAGGTATCAAACAGACATAATATTGATATACATATATTAAGAATATTTAAGAACACATTTTATACAAACAAATAAAAAATTTTTCATAGCTTTGCTATATCAAAAACTTTTATATTATAAGGTTTTCTTTCATTTTAACTTAAATCTCGATTGCAAACTACATAATATCGACATTTTAAAATGTCGCAGATAATTACTTGGAAGATAACTGTGATAACATCTTTCAGTAAAAACACATTGATTCTATATTGAGAATTCAAAATTAAAAGCACTTTAATTAATTTTATGTGTTATATTAAGACAAAGAAGAAAGAAGCTTAGATCTTATGATATAATATTATAAAACTTCTTCGAGTGCCAATTCTATTATGTGCGAATGTGTGCTTGACAGGTTTATTTCATAAGGCAATATGTCAAAGTGGCGTCATAACTGTTCCTTGGGCTTTCAGTGAACTTGACGATGCTATCCATAACGGTCTGATGTTAGCCCAGAAACTTGGTAATGCGACTTCAAATCCGGAAGAAGCCCTGAAATTTCTGAAAGACATAGACGGAAAAATATTGATAGCAGCAGAGGTCTTTTGACGCTCTATTACAATTATTGCAATAATAAATGTTCGATGAATTAACATAAACTATTTTTTTTATATTAAGAATATTATGTTTTTGCAGAATGACTTAGATATTTTTCCCGCATTTACGCCGACCGTGGATTACGAGTCATGGAATTCTTTTTTATCGGAAAATCCGTTGAAATTATTACGTAATGGTATTAAAATACCAATCATATTTGGATATAATAGCCAAGAAGGCAATATTTTCATAAGTGATATTGTCGGTCGTAAGTCGGTCGGTAAGTATATATATTTGCTTTTGCTTTTCATTAAGTTATATTATAAATTAAATTATATTAAATTAAATTAAATTTTAATTAAAATTATTATTCAAATATTTTCAGGGGTAAACAACGATACTTTAAACAAATTTAATTCTGATTTCAAGAAAGCCATATATCCGAAAATTCTACGTCAATTACCGCAACTAGGGATCACGGTACCGGAATTACGATCATTGTATTTTGGTAATAAAACAGTGTCAGAAGAAACTATAATGGCTCTTTCTGATTTTTTGGGGGATCAACATATCTATAGAGGCATTCTACAAGCAATTGATATTCAAATGAATTCTAATGTTAACCAGTCGACCTATTTGTACGAATTTTCGTACGAAAGTGAAACCTCTCCTGTGAAGAAATTGTTTTTTAAAAAGCCGCTTTCAGGTATTGCGTTGCTAATTAAAGTAGAACTACATACGTCAAAATCAAATTAACATTAAAGTTAAAAAAGAAGTAAACGTGAATATAAATGTCTTTAAATTTCTATATATGATTGTAAAAAGACGCACGCAGGTTTAGAAAAATTTGATAAAAAAAAGTTTATAGTGCATTTAAATATAAATTTTAAATTGCACTTGTAATATATTGATAAAGTTATCAACTTTTATGAATAATTTACGTAACAATATTTTGTAGGTACATCTCACTTCGAGGAACTGGGTTATTTATTTTGTCCTCTTATAGGACAATTTATCGAAGTGTTACCATTTGCACATAATACGTCGGATTATAAAATAATGGAATACTTAACGCAGATGTGGACAGATTTTGCTAAAACGGGGTATGATAGACTTGACATTTCTTACGAATATTTATTATAACAATCATACTATCGCGTAATAATAATCAATTACACATTTATTACAGAAATCCAACACCTTCTTCAGCTAATTTTACTTGGATTCCAGTGCAAAATAAAATTATGTATCATTATTTAAATATTGAAAATGAACCTCAAATTAAATCTTTTATTAATGGATACCAACGATGGGATTGGAAGAACAAACTTAAATTATTAAACGAACGTAACAAATCGAAACAATTTTCTGGTACAGAACCATTCATTAACTACACGAAACTTTGCACAAATCTATAGTATGAGATAAAATATGAAGATATCTAAATGAAATTGAATTGCTTTCAAAAAAACTTTCTAATGCAAAAACTGACTAACTAACAATGGGAAACAATGATATATTAATAGAGATCATTTAAACACGATTTTTTCTCGGCAAAAATGTCGAGGCACCAATAATTTTCGAGTTATAAACGATTGAAAAAAATTAAGTTTTTCGTTAAATTATAACGTAAGGTTTATTATACCATATTATTATACATTATTACTTATTATAAATTAAGCCTTGTGAAAATAAAATAATACTAAAACCACATACTTTATATTAATAGAATTTTAATTTAAGATTTAGTTACAAAAAAATATGTGTTTATGGCAAAAATTGGAAACATGCAAATAAATGATGACCTCCCTCTCGACATTTTTGCTGAAAAATGTAATTTTGAGATACTCTGTATATATAATTCTATATACCTAATATATATTTTTTTTTTCACAAAAATGACATTGAAAAGAATCCATTCGTTGATATTGTTGTACATATATCTTGCGTAATAAAATTTATTAGTTGTTGTACAGACAGCAAAATGATTTTTAAGGAAAATTAATTTTGTTAAAAAAAATTCTCTATCTGCGACAAGACAAATTTTGCAACATCGAAGAATTTGTTAATAGTAGTCCAATTGCTGTTACAAAGATATATTTCATAAGAGCGACGTTTTTTTTGTAGCACACAAAATAATTATTTATTTATAATATCTTCATATTTATCAAGATACGAATTCTATTTTGACATCGCGTAGCATTTGGATCACGATAAGCAAATTCTGTATATGTTTATATACATATAAATACTTGTTTTTCGTAATAATTTAGCCAGAGTATAAATTTTTCAGGGCCACTCAAAACAGTAAAAATAAATGTGTCTCAAGGGACATTAGTCGGCATCGTCGAGGAAAACGTCTATGGCGATTCTTACAATGCCTTTTGTGGAATACCATATGCTAAACCTCCAGTGGGTGATCTCAGATTTCGAGTAAGTACAGAAAATGGTTATTGAATATTACTATCTTGATTATTGAAATATTACTATCTTTGTTAAAAGATTTACTTTGACAAGTGGTACAAACTGTTTATTGGATAATCTTATAAAATATAAAAGATACAGACATTTACAAAAATTAGAAATAAAATCTAGTTATACAGGAAAAATGATCTTATACATAATTTTAGGATATAATTGTACATATTATTTTAGACAAAAAAAATTATTATAAACATGTCCTATTTTGAACAAAGATATTACTAGTGTTCAGTTTTAAAAATGACTACATTCATTAATATAATAAAATTTCTATGAAGTTTTAAACTTGCAATACATTTGAATAATTAATATTAATTAATAAACATTTTTTAATTAATAATAATAATTTTGGCATGAATTAATATGAACCATTTTAGTTACATCAGGAACCAAAAATTTGAAATTAACACAGAACTTATCGAAGATAAACTAATGTTTACAAAAATTTCATATAATTCTTTCATAGCATTTAATTTTATTAAGTTAACAAATATCTTTGTTCTTAAACTTGAACATTATATCTTCATAACAGTTCAGAATAAGACACATTTTTATTTAAACTATTTTGCTAAAAATGATTTATACAATCAAGTTCTAGAATGCTGACCATTTCTTCTGAAAATTTTGTATATACATAAATTGTTAAAGAATAATAATAGTTTTTCATTAATGTGTTAAGAAAAAATTTTTACGCTTAAAATTTATAAGAAATGCATTATAATTGCAATGTACAATTATATAAATACTCTGAAGTGCAAACGTGCCGTGTGAAATTAAACGATCCGTTTTTAGTATAAATTAATCCCTTCGTTGCATTGTTCTTTAACTCAAGCGTGTTAAAACACTTGAGCCATATAGAACTTAAGCGATAAAGCAAATCGATCAATCACTGTTCTATTCAGCCATTCTTGGAAAAATTAATTTAGTGCTTACAAAGTTTTACCGGTTAAGTTTTTCTAATATATATGTAGGATTTTATTTATAAGACTTGCGTTAATTTTATTTTAAATTTAATTCTGAAGCGGTGATTGGCTCTGTTCTCTAGTAAAAAAAGTCTCCGCGGAACTACGCGCGAGTGTGCACTCTCATCACTGCGTCATTAGTTATTTTCTATGTTTTTAGTTTGTTATACATGCGTACGCGCCAAAAAACACGCACTTAGTCTCTCTCCGCCGTTTTGATCTGTATAAAAGAATTAATAAAACGTGTTCGAACGAGAAGATTTCTACATATATATATATATATATGGCTTTAAGAAAATGAGCGCGTACATGAAACGCAATACAATAAACTTATGCGAACCAAAGTTCTCATAGCTGTTATTCGTATATTCCAAAGTTTCTTGCCATGTGCGACGTTCTATACATTATCGCGACAGGTAAGAGAAACTGGAGTTGGTTGTGAAATTTTTGAGAAAGTTTGATGCTACATTTTATCTAAACAATATGTTCTTTTTTATGTTACGGTTATAAAATTTATTATTATTTAACTTTAAAATGCGATAAAGAACGCAAGGATAGCTTTCGTGCAACTAGGAAATATTAAATGTATTTATGAAATTTGCCAGTGTAACTTTTACCTCGGCCCTGGAGTCAGTTGTGACGTTATACGGAGTAAAAAATGACAGCAACAATTCCATTATTTGAATGATTTATTTACTTAAACATTAATAATGTCAATTAACATACTTATATCATATGAGCAGTCTTTCATTTTTAATTGATATAAACAAATTTAACAATTTAACACAATATATTTCTTAATCAAAATACAAAAATAACTAGTAAAAACAAAAATTGTTTTACTTCTTTCTAAACTAATTACGAAAATATAACATGTTTACAAATATTTCATTGAACATTGTAATTAAACTCTAAAAACAAAATGAATCAATTTGATATATATTAATCACAAGTAGATATTAATCGATTTGATATATAGTAATCACAAGTAGATATATAGTAATCAAAAGTAGATATTAATCAGAATCATTATCGGAATCACAGTTTCTGCAAATATAATACATATTTGTAACTTTTAACACTGTAATCAAAATTGAACATTTGAAACGCAATTAAAAAGTTTGACAGAATTTTTGCGTTATAACTCTGAATTTTCTTCAATCTTAATTGTATAAAATACACATACAATGCAAAACCATTTCTACAATATCAATATAAACAAAATGAGACCAAAATTACAAATAAAATAAAAAGTTACAAACCTGCTATTTTTTACTACCATATATATGTAAGCGTTAAGTGATGTCGATGACGCGTTTAATATATAATACGCAGTAGTCGATATTGCCAACATTTAGCAATTTTTAGTGTTTTTTTTAGACGGTTTATTTAACTATTTTTTTATAAGTGTAACATTTAACCTCTGTAACGTTCAGTTCCAGTTTCCCTACTTTTCGAAAGTTGGGAAATATAGAAATGTGAAAAATGTTGTAACTTCGTTCAAATTTTATCTTTATAGAAAAACACGCTCTCTTAGAAAATAATAACTTCTAGAAACTTTTAAAGAATTAGGAGAATAATATCCACTCGTGACCTCATGCAATATCGAATAGAGGTAGACAAAAAAATGAATCGATAATTCATTACTTCATTAATTTTTTTAAATACTAGAACAACAAAAGCGCTCTACGAGCGCGCGCCACATTACTCAATTTTATATTAACTTTTAATACTTTAGGACTTACAGAAAATACTTTTTTCGTAATATTTATATTATTCTTCTTAATATTAGTTTTATTTTTCATAATACTAGTTTTGTTTTTTTTAATATTAGTTTTATTATTCCTATTATTAGTATTATTATTGATAAGATCAGTAATATTTTTCATAATATTAATAGTATTTTTCCTCAGGTTAATTTTATTTTTCCTCAAGTTAATTTTTTTCTCCTAATATTAATTTTTAATATTAGTTAACTGACAACAAGAAAAAAAACTGCAGTAATTCTTTCATATAAAATTGAACAAAAATTTGTAGTGCTCTGCATTTAAGCATCCAAATAATTATAAAGATTTTCTTACATAATATATATTTAGTTTAATCATATATTTATTCAAGTGTCATTTTACAATACTGTTCAAAAATAAGATATTTCACAATAAAAGTTTAGTTTGCGATTGCAAAACAATCTCGATTACAGATAATTAAAATATAATCAAATTCAAAACTTCTTTAATTTGCGTTTTTTTAGTTTCTGTCGAATTTGTGATATATACTTTATTCTGTAAATATAGACTAAATTTTAATTTTTAATACCATAACGCAGCATTCGACCAACGACTCTAAAGAGTGTCGAAAAGTTCAAAGAACGTCAATTCTCTTTATTGGTTATTCTAAGAACATACAGAAGATAATACATATTTTTTATTATCTATATCAAGATAAGATGTCGCCAAAATTTTATCTAGCTGATCATTTATAACATTTTATTTAGATAACAAACACTGATTGTAGGATCCGCAACCACCAGAACCATGGTCCAGTGATAGAAACGCTTCGGATAACGGAAACATCTGTCTTCAGATGGACGGAATAGACTTAGTCGTCATAGGAAAAGAAGACTGTCTCTATTTGAACGTGTATACCAACAATGTGACGTCTTCAAAAAAAAGTGCTGTAATGGTGTGGATACATGGTGGAGGCTTTCTTATGGGAGACGGCACCTCGCTTTATTACGGTCCTGATTATATCATGCGGAAGGATGTGGTACTCGTCACCCTGAATTACAGATTAGGTGTTCTAGGTACATTATTAATTAGCTCGAAATCATTTTATGTTATTTGCGTTCGATGATCTACTTTTTTTTAAGTAAACACATAGAACGCATTCTGCTTTCCACAATCCAAATAATTTACGTGTATTTATGGTTTTTTTAAAACACCAATTTTAAAGCAATAATCAATTCTCATAACTTATAACATTTTTATAAATTTTAACGTTTCATAACTTTCTTCATAAATTTGGTTTTTTTTTAAATAATCGTCGAATTATAAATAATTAAAAAAACTCGTGAAATCAATTTATTTAATCTTTGAAATTGTAATATATTTATATAACTTATATAAATAAAATAGGAATTAAAAAATGATAATGATTTAATCGACCAACTCTGGCAAAAAAGAAATTTTATTAAATTTTACAACATTTCGGCCGTGGGTTTCAGCCCTTATCAAGTGCTGTAACATAATATTAACAATTATGATTAAAAGGAAATTATAAAATATATAAAGAATTTCACACGTTAATACGCAAACGTATCTATGTTCTTCAAACAAAGTAAATCACAACTTTTTTGGAAAACAATAGTTTGATCTGAGAATATAACATGATATAATAGTATGAAAACGAAATAACTGTGTTGTCGTAACAGTTTTAAGCTCCTTATCAAACTAAACGTTCTTTATTAATTTCTTGTAAACATTATTAAGATTATCCGTGTCTCTTTGTAAATTAATTGTGTTGTCAAATTTTTGATATAAAACATCTCCGCGATTTTTCGTTTACTAACATATTTTTCATGATGTAAAATTTCTTGTAGAACAAGAATATTAAATAATCGACCAAATTAGCACAAATCAAATTTAGTAAGTTTTACGACGTTTCGAAAATAAGGTTGTGGTACTTTTGAAATAAATAACGTTAAAAATCATTTAACCACATGGTCGAAACGTCGTGAAACTTAATTAATTTTAATTTGTGCTAGTTTGGTCAATTATTTAATATTTCTTATTTTACTGACTAGAGAATGCGAATATGTAAGTCTTGATAATAAACTTTACTAAACGTATTAACGACATGTTTCTTTTATTCCCTTTTTAGGTTTTCTCAATTTTAATGAGAAATGGCGACGGGAAATCAGGGCTTAAAAGATGTAGTTATGGCGTTAAAATGGGTTAAAAAAAATATACTGCAATTCGGTGGAGATCCCGATAACGTCACAATTTTTGGTCAAGATGCGGGTGGAGTAATGGTTCACTATCTGACTATTTCACCGTTAGCTGAAGGTACGAATCAAACAGACATAATATTGATATACATATATTAAGAATATTTAAGAACACATTTTATACAAACAAATAAAAATTTTTCATAGCTTTGCTATATCAAAAACTTTTATATTATAAGGTTTTCTTTCATTTTAACTTAAATCTCGATTGCAAACTACATAATATCGACATTTTAAAATGTCGCAGATAATTACTTGGAAGATAACTGTGATAACATCCTTCAGTAAAAACACATTGATTCTATATTGAGAATTCAAAATTAAAAGCACGTTAATTAATTTTATGTGTTATATTAAGACAAAGAAGAAAGAAGCTAAGATCTTGATATAATCGAAAGCTAAGATGATGATATGATTATTTAAAACTTCTTCGAATGCCAATTTTATTATGTGCGAATGTGTGCTTGACAGGTTTATTTCATAAGGCAATATGTCAAAGTGGCGTCATAACTGTTCCTTGGGCTTTCACTGAACTTGACGATGCTATCCATAACGGTCTGATGTTAGCCCAGAAACTTGGTAATGCGACTTCAAATCCGGAAGAAGCCCTGAAATTTCTGAAAGACATAGACGGAAGAATATTGATAGCAGCAGAGGTCTTTTGACGCTCTATTACAATTATTGCAATAATAAATGTTTGATGAATTAACATAAACTATTTTTTTATATTAAGATTATTATGTTTTTGCAGAATGACTTAGATATTTTTCCCGCATTTACGCCGACCGTGGATTACGACTCATGGAATTCTTTTTTATCGGTAAATCCGTTGCAATTATTACGTAATGGTATTAAAATACCAATCATATTTGGATATAATAGCCAAGAAGGCAATATTTTCATAAGTGATATTGTCGGTCGTAAGTATATATATTTGCTTTTGCTTTTCATTAAGTTATATTATGAATTAAATTATATTAAATTAAATTAAATTTTAATTAAAATTATTATTCAAATATTTTCAGGGGTAAACAACGATACTTTAAACAAATTTAATTCTGATTTTAAGAAAGCCATATATCCGAAAATTCTACGTCAATTACCGCAACTAGGGATCACGGTACCGGAATTACGATCATTGTATTTTGGTAATAAAACAGTGTCAGAAGAAACTATAATGGCTCTTTCTGATTTTTTGGGCGATCAACATATCTATAGAGGCATTATACAAGCAATTGATATTCAAATGAATTCTAATGTTAACCAGTCGACCTATTTGTACGAATTTTCGTACAAAAGTGAAACCTCTCCTGTGAAGAAAATGTTTTTTGAAAAGCCGTTTCCAGGTATTGCGTCGCTAATTAAAGTAGAACTACATACGTCAAAATCAAATTAACATTAAAGTTAAAAAAGAAGTAAACGTGAATTTAAATGTCTTTAAATTTTTATATATGAGTGTAAAAAGACGCACGTAGGTTTAGAAAAATTTGATTAAAAAAAGTTTATAGTGCATTTAAATATAAATTTTAAATTGCACTTGTAATATATGGATAAAGTTATCAACTTTTATGATTAATTTACATAACAATATTTTGTAGGTACATCTCACTTCGAGGAGCTGGGTTATTTATTTTGTCCTCTTATGGGACAATTTATCGATGTGTTACCAATTGCACATAATACGTCGGATTATAAAATAATGGAATACTTAACGCAGATGTGGACAGATTTTGCTAAAACGGGGTATCATAGACTTGACATTTCTTACGAATATTTATTATAACAATTGTACAATCGCGTAATAATAATCAATTACACATTTATTACAGAAATCCAACACCTTCTTCAGCTAATTTTACCTGGATTCCAGTGAAAAATAGACTTATGTATTATTATTTAAATATTGAGAATGAACCTCAAATGAAATTTCTTCTTAATGGATTTCAACGATGGGATTGGAAGAACAAACTTAAAATATTAAACAAATATAACAAATTGCAACAATTTTCTGGTACAGAACCATTCATTAATTACACAAAAGTTTGCACAGACCTATAGTATGAGATAAAATATGAAGAAATTTAACTAAAATTGAATTGCTTTCAAAAAAATCTTCTAATGCAAAAATTGACAAAATAACAGTGGGAAACAGTGATGTATTAATAGAGATCATTTGGGGACAATTTTTACTCGGCAAAAATTTTGAGACACAAATAATTTTCGAGTTATAAGTGATAGAAAAAAATTAAGCTTTCTGTTAAATTATAACTTAAGCCTTATTATACTTTATTATATATTATATATTATTATATATTATATATTATTATAAATTATAAATTAAGCTTTGTAAAAATGAAATATTAACAAAACCATATACTTTATTTAATTAGAAATTTAATTTAAAATTGAGTTACAAAGATATGTGTATATGGTAAAAATTGGAAACATGCAAAAAATGATGACCTCTCTTTCGACATTTTTGCTGAAGAATGTAATTTTGAGATACTCTGTATATATAATTTTATATACCTAATATATATTTTTTTTTTCATAAAAATGACATTAAAAAGGATTCGTTCGTTAATATTGTTGTACATAAATCTTGTGTAATAAAGTTAATAAGTTGTTGTACAGACAGCAAAATAATATTTAAGGAAAATTAATTTTAAAAAGAAATATTTTTATCGGCTTTCAATATAAAGAATATAAATTTGATGTTTTTAAATCGGCCAACAGAGATAAAGCACAAAAATTAATTATTCGGAACTGTATTCGAGAAAATTCCATATATTTTCTCGAAACTTACAGACATATATTTCCGAGATTAAAATATGGAACTTAGTAATCTTACAGTTAATATTAGTATTGGCCGATTTAAAAACATATTATTGATAAAAATTCTTTTTCTGCGACAAGACAAATTTTGTTTGCAATATCGAAGAATTTGTTAATAGTAGTCCAATTGCTGTTACAAAGATATATTTAATAAGAGCGACGTTTTCCTTGTAGCACACAAAATAATTATTTATCCATGTCGTCATATTTATCAAGATACGAATTCTATTTTGACATCGCGTAGCTTTTGGATCACGATAAGCGAATTCTATATATGTTTATATATAAATACTTATTTGTCGTAATAATTTAGCTAAAGCATAAATTTTTCAGGGCCACTCAAAACAGTAAAAGTAAATGTGTCTGAAGGGACATTAGTCGGCATCGTCGAGGAAAACGTCTATGGCGATTCTTACAATGCCTTTCGTGGAATACCTTATGCTAAACCTCCAGTGGGTAATCTCAGATTTCGAGTAAGTACAGAAAATGGTTATTGAATATTACTATCTTGATTATTGAAATATTACTATCTTTGTTAATAGATTCACTTTGACAAGTGATAAAAACTGTTTATTGAATAATCTTATAAAATATAAAATATACAAACATTTTACAAAAATTAGAAATAAAATCTAGTTATACAGGAGAAATGATCTTTTACAGAATTTTAGGATATAATTGTACATATTATTTTAGACAAAAAAATTATTATAAACATGTCCTATTTTTTGGACAAAGATATTACTTGTGTTCAGTTTTAAAAATGACTACATTCATTAACTTATTAGAATCTTTATGAAATTTTAAACTTGCAATACATTTGAATAATTATATTAATTAATAAACATTTTTCAATTAATTAATAATAATTTTGACTTGAATTAATATGAACCATTTTAGTTACATCAGGAACCAAAAAGTTGAAATTGACACAGGACTTATCGAAGGTAAACAAATGTTTACAAAAATTTCATATAATTCTTTTATAGCATTTAATTTTATTAAGTTAACAAATATCTTTGTTTTTAAATCTGAACATTATATCTTCATAACAGTTCAGAATAGGACACATTTTTATTTAAACTATTTTGCTTAAAATGATTTATACAATCGAGTTCTGGAATGCTGACCATTCCTTCTGAAAATCTTGTATATACATAAATTGTTAAAAAATAATAATAGTTTCTCATTAATGTGATAAAAGGAAAATTTTTTACGCTTAAAATTTATAAGAAATGCATTATAATTACAATGTACAATTATATAAATACTCTGAAGTGCAAACGTGCCGTGTGAAATTAAACGATCCGTTTTTAGTATAAATTAATCTCCTTGTTGCATTGTTTTTGTAACTAAAGCGTGTAAAAACACTTGAGCCATAGAACTTAAGCGATAAAACTAATCGATAAATCACTGTTCTAATCTGCCATTCTTGAGAGGATTAATTGATTGCTTACAAAGTTTTACCGGTTAAGTTTTTCTATCTATATATATATATATATATATATGGCTTTAAGGAAATGAGCGCGTACATGATACGCATAACGATAAACTTATGCAAACCAAAGTTTTCATAGCTGTTGTTCGTATATTCCAAAGTTTCTTGCTTGTACGAAATTCTATGCATCATCGCGACAGGTAAAAGAGACTGATGTTGGTTATGACATTTTTGAAAAAATTTGATGCTACATTTTATCTAAACAACATGTTCTTTTTTATGTTACGGTTATGAAATGTATTATTATTTAACTTCAAAATGCGATAAAGAACGGAAGGATAAGTTTCGTGCAACTTAGAAATATTAAATGATTTTATGAAATTCCAGTGTAACTTTCACCCCGGCCTTGGGGTTATTTGTGACACCATACGGAGTAAAAAGTGACAGCATTGGTTCCATTATTTGAATGATTTATTTTACTTAAATATTAATAATGTCAATTAACGTATTTATATCATATAAGCAATCTTTTATTATTAATTGATATAAACAATTTAACAATTTAGCACAATATACTTTTTAAAATACAAAAATAATATGTCAAAACAAAAATTGTTTTACCTCTTCTTAAACTAATTAAGAAAACTTAACATGTTTAAAATGTTTCATTGAACATTGTAATTAAGCTCTAAAAACAAAATGAATTGATTTGATATATAGTAATCACAAGTAGATATTAATCAGAATCATTATCGGAATCACAATTTCTGCAAATATAATACATATTTCTAACTTTTAACACTGTAATCAAAATTGAACATTTGAGACGCAATTAAAAAGTTTGACAGAATTTTTGCGTTATAACTCTGAATTTTCATAAATTTTAATTGTATAAAATACACATACAATGCAAAACCATTTCTACAATATCAATATAAAGAAAATGAGACTAAAATTACAAATAAAATAAAAAGTTACAAACCTGCTATTTTTCACTACGATATACATGTAAGCGTTAGGCGATGTCGATAACGCGTTTAATATATAATACGCAGTAGTCGATATTGCCAACATTTAGCGCTTTCTAGCGTTTTTATAGACGGTTTATTTAACTATTTTATTATAAGTGTAACATTTAACTCGTGTAACATTCAGTCCCAGTCCTCCCTACTTTTCGAAAGTTGGGAAATATAGAAATGTGAAAAATGTAGTAACTTTGTTTAAATTTTATCTTTATAGAAAAAAACGCACTCTTAAAATATAATAACTTCTAGAAACTTTTAAAAAATTAGGAGAATAATATCAACTCGTGACGTTATGCAATATCGAATAGAGGTAGACAAAAAAATGAATCGATAATTCATTACTTCATTAATTTTTTTAAATACTAAAACAACAAAAGCGCGCTACATTTCTCAATTTTATATTAACTTTTAATACTTTAGAACTTACAGAAAATACATTTTTCTTAATATTTATATTATTCTTAATATTAGTTTAATTTTTCATAATACTAGTTATGTTTTTCGTAATATTAGTTTTATTATTTTTAATATTAGTATTATTATTGATAAGATTAGTATTATTTTTTCTAATATTAGTAATATTGTTTCTAAGGTTAGTTTTATTTTTCCTCAAGTTAATTTTATTTTTCCTAATATTAATTTTTAATATTAGTTAACTGACAACAAGAAAAAAACTGCAGTAATTCTTTCACATAAAATTAAACAAAAATTTGTAGTGCTCTGCATTTAAGCATCCAAATAATTATAAAGATTTTTTTACATAATATATATTAGCTTAATCTTATTTATTCAAGTGTTATTATACATAACTGTATAAAAATCAGATATTTTACAATAAAAGTTTAGTCTGCGATTGCAAAACAATCTCGATTACAGATAATTAAAATAAAATCAAATTCAAAACTACTTTAATTTGCCTTTTTTTCAGTTTTCATCAAATTTGTGATATATAATTTATTCTGTAAATATAGATTAAATTTTAATTTTTAATAGCATAACGCAGCATTCGACCAACGACTCTAAAGGGTGTCGAAATGTTCAAACAACGTCAATTCTTTTTATCGACTATTCTAAGAAGAAACATTTTCTTTCTCGACGGCTACACGGTGTCTCGAACAAATAAGAGTAAAATGTTGCGATTGAGAATAATAAAAATGTTTCATTATGTAAATAATTAGTCGAAGAAATATGTATAGATACTTCTCTCTCTCTCTCTCTCTCTCTCTCTCTCTCTCTCTCTCCCCTGCCTTCTCTTTTATTCTATCGCATTTTCCACTTTCTCCCACCCTCTTCTTCTCTTTTAAATATATACAATAAATATCTTGTCTATTCTATAATGTATAAATAATTTAGAAACTAAGAATCTAATTTATGATTATGTATTTAACAACATATTTGAAGAAGAATCAAATCGGTTGCGGACAGTTGTGACATGTCCCTTGTTAGATAAGGTTAAGAAAATTTTGTTTTACTTTATCTACATAAAAAATAAAATTACATGACTATTTATCTAAATAACTTTTAGATATTATTGTTTTTTAGATCGCTTATGTAGACACAATTATAAAAAAAGATGTAAATTATAAATGGGATATAAAAATTAAATTCGTACTTTTATGTCTACATTTTTATGGTTTATTGCTTAATTTTTAGTAATTATTTATTTTTATGCTATGACTCTAAACCGAATTATCTGAATAATTTAGTAACCATAATCTTTTTCTTCATCTAGATGCAGATATAGATAATACATATTTTTCATTATTTATATCAAAATAAGATGTCGCCAAAATTTCATCTAGCTAATTATTTATAACATTTTATTTAGATAACAAACACTGATTATAGGATCCGCAACCACCAGAACCATGGTCCAGTGACAAAAACGCTTTGGATAACGGAAACATCTGTCTTCAGATGGACAGAATAAACTTAGTCGTCATAGGAAAAGAAGACTGTCTCTATTTGAACGTGTATACCAACAATGTGACGCCTTCAAAGAAAAGTGCTGTAATGGTGTGGATACATGGTGGAGGCTTCCTTATGGGAGACGGCACCTCGTTTTATTACGGTCCTAATTATATCATGCGGAAGGATGTGGTACTCGTCACCCTGAATTACAGATTAGGTGTTCTAGGTACATTATTATTTAGCTCGAAATCATTTTATGTTATTTGCGTTCGATGATTTACTTTTTTTTAAGTAAACACATAGGACGCATTCTGCTTCCCACAATTTAAATAATTTACGTGTATACAGGGTGTCCGGTAACTAACGGACCAATGATTAAGGGTGGATTCTCTGGCCAATTTGGAGACGATTTTTCCTTAGCAAAAATGTCGAGAAGTCAATAATTTTCGAGTTATAAGCGATTGAAAAAAATGGGTTTTTTGAAAACTAAACGTTTTGGAGTTAAAAGTCTAACATAATTACATTCTTCAGTTAATTTCAGGTAGAGTTTACTATAATAAAATTTTAATTTGAGACTTAGTTATAAAGATACATAATGACAATTATTGGAAAGTTGTAAAAAATGATGACCTTTTTCGACATTTTCGCTGAGGAAAAATCGTTCCCAAATTGACCAAAGAATCCACTTGTAATCGTTGGTCCGTTAGTTATCGGACACCCTGTATATGGTTTATTTTAAAATACCAATTTCAAAGCAATATCCAATTCTCATAACTTATAACATTTTTTTAAATTTAATGTTTCATAACTTTCTTCATAAATTTTGTTTTTTTTTAATAATTGTCGAATTATAAATAATTAAAAAACTCGTGAAATCAATTTATTTAATCTTTGAAATTGTAATATATTTATATAACTTAGTGAGGCCAACTTATCGAGCTGAATATTCGAGTATTACATGTATAAATTATAAATACAGTCATTATATTAAAACTAACGCAAATTACAATCATTCAACGTTTCGACCGCACGCGGTCTTCTTCAGTATAATTATTGAAATATAAATTCTTACAATTCACATAATATCGAAATTTAATTATAGTTATTCAGAATCAACTATAATTAAATTTCGATATTATGTGAATTGTAAGATTTATTTCAATAATTATACTTGCGGTCGAAACGTTTATAGAATGATTGTAATTTGCGTTAGTTTTAATAAATGACTGTAGAATTTATACATGTAATAAATGGTAGTTGACTGAACATCTCGCTCGATAAGTTGGCCTAATATTTATCACTTTGTTTTCAATATACGAGCGACAATTGTATTAATTTATTTTATATAACTTGTTGGCATTTTTTTGTTGGGCTCGACTTATTTATCCGTCGTCCGTCTTGTTATTGCGGGCATGTATTAGTATAAGGCATTGTCTCGGTATTTACATTCTTTTGTATTGTATGTTCATCCGTTCGTCGTCTGAGATTTTTGTCGAATTCGTGTCCTCGCGTGATTGGCGCGATTTGAAGCGTCGGTTATTTTGACGGCGGTATATAAGACGACCGCCGGTCGAGAGACGCGCTCTCATTATTGATTCTTCTCCGAGTAATAAACAGTTCTCAACGCATCAAGAGTATTTTATTTTAAATATATCACTCGCCCAACAAACTTATATAAATAAAATAGGAAATAAAAAATGGTAATGATTTAATCGACCATTTCTGGCAAAATAGAAATTTTATTAAATTTTACAACGTTTCGGTCGTGGATTTCAGCTCTTATCAAGTGCTGTAACATAACATTAACAATTATGACTAAAGGGAAATTATAAAATATATAAAGAATTTTACACGTTAATACGCAAACATACCTATGTTCCTAAAACAAAATAAATCACAACTTTTTTAAAAAACAATAATTCGATCTGAGAATACAACATGATATAATAGTATGAAGACGAAATAACAGTGTTGTCGTAACAATTTTAAGCTCCTTATCAAACTAAACGATCTTTATTAATTTCTCGTAAACATTATTTAGATTATCCGTGTCTCTTTGTAAATTAATTGTGTTGTCAAATTTTTTGATATAAAACATCTTCGCAATTTTTCGTTTACTAACATATTTTTCATGATGTAAAATTTCTTGTAGAAAAAAAATATTAAATAATCGACCAAATTAGTACAAATTGAAATTTATTAAGTTTTACGACGTTTTGAACATATGGTTGTGGCACTTTTGAAATAAAAAACGTTAAAAATCATTCAACCACATGGTCGAAACGTCGTGAAACTTAATTAATTTTAATTTGTGCTTGTTTGGTCAACTATTTAATATTTCTTATATTACTGATCAGAGAATGCGAATAATTAAGTCTTGATAATAAACTTTACTAAACGTATTAATAACATGTTTCTTTCATTCTCTCTTTAGGTTTTCTCAATTTTGATGACAAAATGGCGACGGGAAATCAGGGCTTAAAAGATGTAGTTATGGCGTTAAAATGGGTTAAAAGAAATATATTGCAATTCGGTGGAGATCCCGATAACGTCACAATTTTTGGTCAAGATGCGGGTGGAGTAATGGTTCACTATTTGACTATTTCACCGTTAGCTGAAGGTACGAATCAAACAGACATAATATTGATATACATATATATTAAGAATATTTAAGAACACATTTTATACAAACAAATAAAAAATTTTTTATAGCTTTGCTATATCAAAAACTTTTATATTATAAGGTTTTCTTCCATTTTAACTTAAATCTCGATTGCAAACTACATAATATCGACATTTTAAAATGTCGCAGATAATTACTTGGAAGATAACTGTGATAACATCCTTCAGTAAAAACACATCGATTCTATATTGAGAATTCAAAATTAAAAGCACGTTAATTAATTTTATGTATTATATTAAGACAAAGAAGAAAGAAGCTTAGATCTTATGATATAATCTTATAAAACTTCTTCGAGCACCAATTCTATTATGTGCGAATGTGTGCTTGACAGGTTTATTTCATAAGGCAATATGTCAAAGTGGCGTCATAACGGTTCCTTGGGCTTTCACTGAACTTGACAGTGCTATCCATAACGGTCTGATGTTAGCCCAGAAACTTGGTAATGCGACTTCAAATCCGAAAGAAGCCCTGAAATTTCTGAAAGACATAGACGGAAGAATATTGATAGCAGCAGAGGTCTTTTGACGCTCTATTACAATTATTGCAATAATAAATGTTTGATGAATTAACATAAACTATTTTTTTATATTAAGAATATTATGTTTTTGCAGAATGACTTAGATATTTTTCCCGCATTTACGCCGACCGTGGATTACGAGTCAATGAATTCTTTTTTATCAGAAAATCCGTTGCAATTATTACGTAATGGTATTAAAATACCAATCATATTTGGATATAATAGCCAAGAAGGCAATATTTTCATAAGTGATATTGTCGGTGGTAAGTATATATATTTGCTTTTGCTTTTTATGAAATTATATTATGAATTAAATTAAATTAAATTAAGTGAAATTTAAATTAAAATCGTTATTCAAACATTTTCAGGGGTAAACAACGAGACTTTAAACAAATTTAATTCTGATTTCAAGAAAGCCATATATCCGAGAGTTTTACGTCAATTACCGCAACTAGGGATCACGGTACCGGAATTACGATCATTGTATTTTGGCAACAAAGCAGTGTCAGAAGAAACTATAATAGCTCTTTCTGATTTTATCGGCGATCAATATATCTATAGAGGCATTCTACAAGCAATTGATATTCAAATGAATTCTAATGTTAACCAGTCGACCTACTTGTACGAATTTTCGTACGAAAGTGAAACCTCTCCTGTGAAGAAAATGTTTTTTGAAAAGCCACTTTCAGGTATTTTGTTGCTAATAAAAGTAGAACTACATACGTCAAAATCAAATTAACATTAAAGTTAAAAAAGAAGTGAACGTGAATTTAAATGTCTTGAAATTTCTATATATGAGTGTAAAAAGACGCACGTAGGTTTAGAAAAATATGATCAAAAAAAGTTTATAATGCATTTAAATATAAATTTTAAATTGCACTTGTAATATATTGATAAAGTTATCAACTTTTATGATTACTATACATAACAATATTTTGTAGGTACATCTCACTTCGAGGAGTTGGGTTATTTATTTTGTCCTCTTATGGGACAATTTATCGATTTGTTACCAATTGCACATAATACGTCGGATTATAAAATAATGGAATACTTAACGCAGATGTGGACAGATTTTGCTAAAACGGGGTATCATAGACTTGACATTTCTTACGAATATTTATTATAACAATCGTACAATCGCGTAATAATAATCAATTACACATTTATTACAGAAATCCAACACCTCCTTCAGCTAATTTTACCTGGGTTCCAGTAAAAAATAAAACTACGTATGATTATTTAAATATTGAGAATGAACCTCAAATGAAAAGTTTTGTTAATGGACACCAACGATGGGATTGGAAGAACAAACTTGAATTATTTAACAAACTGGGACAACTTTTTGGTACAGAACAAAATATTCACACAGACTTATAGTATGAGATAAAATATGAAGAATTCTAACTAAAATTAAATAGCTTTAAAAAAAACTTGCAAAAACCTGACAAACAAACAAGACTGACAATGGGAAACAATGTGATGTATCAATATGATGACCTAAGCGAAATCCTTTTCTCAATTTGGAATCCTCTTTTTTTTAAGACGCATTATCTGTTTATTAGATATAAATTTGTACACACACACACACATATATATATATATATATATATATATATATATATATATGTATATAGTATACATATATGTTTACTGTATGCAGTATTTAGAAAAATAATATATATATAAAGTATATATATTATTTTTCTAAATATATCTTACTTTTAATATTTTTAAAGGAATCCCAAAAGATATTTTACAATCCTTAGTCAAAGATTTATTAAACCCAGACGTATGAAAAATATATTCTTTTAAAAATAAAATGTTAAAAATAAAATGTTTTCTTTTTCACATTCTTTATTTTTGAAAAAAAACTAATGTCCCAAAATATGATAACTGAGTTGCTACAATACTGTTATCGAATAAACCATAATTCCTATGAGAATTTTCGAGAAAGAAAAAGAATGAAAATATAACCTTATTCTCGTTTTTTGTCTATCCACCATTTTCTTCTAGCTTAGAGGAATGAGTTTATAAACGAGAAAATAATCAAGAATTACAAAATCGATATTTGCGCTCTACATACATGATAAGTCTCGAATTATTATCAATAACGTTATCGACGATATATTCGTAATAAGTCATCGAGAAACGGCGAATCATCATTCCTCGCGAATCCAACTCGTTTTATAATCATATGCTTCCAAGTTCCAAGTTCGATTGCGTGAGCGTAAATATGGTTGCATTAATCCCGACGTAGTCACATCGACAGTCACGCTGCGTGGATCATTTCGGCCAGATTATTAGCGCCGATTCAGGCATTATTCGTTCAGTGTCCGTCATGAACGACAACCGAGTGGCCGTGGACGTACGCGAGGGCCAATTAATCGGTATTGTCGAGGAAAATGTTCACGGCGATCATTACATCGCTTTTCTAGGAATACCGTACGCGAAACCGCCGCTCGGTAAACTAAGGTGAACGCCCTCTCACATGTCTTGTTATCTTTGTTGGTGAACTTGAAACTAGAGTTTGCCTTTCTGTCTATAATTAGGAATTGGAGAGTCTTGGTTTATATACGGAAGAGTCTTGGTTATACGGAAATTGCAGTTAAATAAACAGTTGGAGGCAACCGACGTAATTTTTTTCAAGTTTTTTTTAATTGTTAGATAATCTCATATAATTGCGAACAATTTTGAAAATAACGATCATTTACCACTGAATAATTTGCAAAAATTTATGGAAGAGTTTTTAAAGGTTAGATAAAATATAATCCTTATTGTAAGTTGATTTATAAATTACAGCAATGACAATCTCAGGTGTAATCTTTGAAGAATATCTCTTGGTCTATAATTCATTTTTAATGTAAATTAAATTTCTCTTCTCTGTGTAAGATTTGTGTAACTAAAGCATGTAAAAAATGCGAGTGTAGAAAACGGATCGATCAATCACAATCGAGCATTTTTGCTCGAGCGCGTTTGATTGATTCGTTTATGGTTTGAATTCTATTATGCATACTTTTTAGATTTTTTGCGATGATCCTGATTAACCTTGAAAAATATATGCTGTGCATCTTAAAAAATATCTATAAATATTTTAATACTTTTCGTAGAATTTTTCTAATTCGAGTATTTGGAAACATTCTATGCGTCAGTAAAAACTTATCATAAATAAGAAACGTCGCTAATGTGAATTATAGAGTCATATTAAAAACCCGAGGAAAATCCAAGCGAAGAAAATAATTAATATTATTGTCCACTATATACAGCAATTCATTCGTATATTATTTTCGCCAATTATGACGTTTTATTAAATCGTCGAATTTACAAGCGATGATTACAGTTTGTTCAAATTCTGTATGTCGTAAACACGACAGTAATACTGTCACGATCATGAAAAGGCATCGATTATTTCTACTTATCAATTGCAGAACGCAAGTTACCGTAGAATTATGGATCTTACAATATTCGTAAACTATCACTATTATCAATTTATTTTAAACGATATAAAAAATTATAAAGTCACCAGATGATAATTAAAAAATGGTAATAATTCAATCGACCAACTCTGGCAAATAAGTGATTTTATTGAATATTCACAACGTTTCGGCCGTAGGTTTCGGCCCTTATCAAATGCTATGTTCTTAAAACAATGTAAATCACAACTTTTTTAAAAAACAAAGATTTGATTTTAGAATCTGACATGATATAATAACATGATAGTATAAAAACAAAATAACTATGAAATCATTTATTTTAAATTGAGTTTTAAAAATTATTGTTATTAATTATTTAATTATTTATTTTTTTGTGGAATAATCTTTTTTATGCTGTCCATTTACTGCATGACAGTAAACACAAATTGACATGTATTCTTCAAATAATGTTGAAATATTTTCAATAGATAAACATTTTTTATTTATTTTTTTTTGAAAAGGAATTATTTTTTAAAAATTATGATATTAATTTCAAAAATATATAAAATACAATAAAAAGAGAATGACAGTGCGAATAATCATATGAGTACATGACTTGTATACTTACTTGTGATATGTTCTACCATCCTTGTTCCTTGTTTTGAACCACAAATAGCACAAGATAACACCATTTTCTAAACAAAAAAACAGATAAATTAAATAAAAATTGTTTTTAAAAATTAAAACAATGGAGACAATTTAAACACATTTAAACGCCGCGCTGGTACGTTGCCATACTAGCATATTTTACTTTGTTATAAATGGCTGCCCGATTTTCAAGTCGTAACACGTTATCTTTTTAAAGGGTTATACCTACCTATAAGACCGAAAAAAACATGTATTTTTAGTAATTTCTTTTAAACTGAAAGATTTTTTAAAATAAATGATTAATTATTCGAATGTATACATTTTGAAGTATCTATAGAATTTTTTTATTACAAAGTATTAAAAAACAAAAAAGATATATCAGCAAGAGCATTTTTTGTAAGTTTTTGCGGTGTCGAATTCCCCCTTCCCTCTTCATACTGCCTGTTTTAAAGAACATTAAAATCCATATAACTTTTATATGTGTGTGTGAAACATTTTTTTATATCTTATACCGAAATAAAAAAAACCAATTTTTTTCAAGGGAGGGAGGTGTTTTACTCTCTAAATGTCAAAATACGCAGTTAAAAAAAATACGGGGTTTAATATTTTTCAATGCTTCAAAACATATTCCAAGTTGATTAAAATTAGTGAGGGTCACTTCCAATCATTTCCTTGTTAGTTTTAACAATATTAGTTCAGTCAGTAATATTGAATTTTCCATTAGCTTTCATGAAATAGGCGTCTACGATTTACCTACGATGATTACACTTATTACAAATATGAGATCACAACCATTGCACGCGTACATTGGTCATTCTATGGGCGAATCTGTTTTTTTACGTAATGGCAACAGAGCGTCCAAAAATTGCTAGAATTGTAAAAATGATGTCCAGTCTCGGACCAGAAGTTTTTTTAGATCATATGAGAGGTCCACTACGATCGATGTTTTATTTGGTGAAAAAGATGCAGGTAATAATATGTAAATATAATATACTACTTTGAGCTAGAATAAAATTAAGTAAATTGCATTTTGAATAGAAGATATCTTTAATTGCAGCCAATAATTCGAGTTTTGTTCCATGATGAATTAATCCCACGAAAAGTTTTTGAAACGGCAATGGCATTAATCGGCAGCAACCCAAATTTCCTTCTATCGCAGATGTGCGCTATTTTCATATTTTCAGTCTTCGGTTACGACCGTGAGCAGTTTACTTACGTGAGTAATAACTGAGTAAGTATTTGTCTGCGAATTATAATAATAAATTTAAAAGGTTCTAATATGCAAATGAAAATTATATCAAACAATTTTCAAACCGTTGGACGAGAATATATCACAGATAAAAAATTAAGAAAACGTTTTGAAGCTTGATCTTTTATTGTGTGTATACATTCACACACACTCACATATATATATTGATAATAAAAAATATATATATATATATATATTTAAGAGTTTAACAAGGCTCTGTAATATAAATATAAATTTAACGTATAAGACGGGCAATAAGAGCCAAATCGCGGATGACAATGCGTTATCCTAACGAAACTAAATAATTTTTCGTTAGAATTAAATACCGGTGCACAAGGCACCAAATTTTACTTGGACACGGCCAAGATTTTAAATATGAAATAATCTCATATTTGAGATTTAATTTCAATACCCCTTTAACCCCCCTACGGAAAATAAATAAATGAATGCAAGAGAAAAATATAGATCCGAAAGTTGCTGAATCTGGAATCGAACCCGAGACCTTTCGCTTGCCGGGCGACTGCTCTTCCAGCTGAGCTATTCAGATTCTTTCGATTCTATACTTTTCTCTGTTATATATATTAATGTTGGTAAACAAACGCCTTTAAGCCAGCGTGTATAAATTTAAGAGTTTAACAAGGCTCTGTAATATAAATATAAATTTAACGTATAAGACGGGCAATAAGAGCCAAAATTTATTTCGTTGCCTTCATTTGTTATTGTTCTTGAATATTGATTTGTTAAAATAATTAAAAAAATAACAAATAATTTTTATTATTATTACTACTTACGTAATATTATTACTTTTAAGAATGTTTTGTTTGTTACGGTTTTTCATGAGAAATTATATATATATATATATACATATATATATTGAGAATAAAAAACATATTTCTTTTTTATTCTCTTAAACATTATAAATATATACGTATAAGTAAATATGTATTTCTTTTGCATCAATATCGAAACACCAATAAATATCATGTTAGGCGATTGAAGAATTACAGGTAGCCAAAAAGATAATACAAATATTACATTTTTTAAAGTAATTCTAGTCAATTAACTTATTTTATAGAATTTTAAAACTTACAATTAGTTTCAAAAGTTGATGTTAGAAATAATAATAAGAAACTATGGAAAATAATATTTTTTATTGTTATAAAGTAATGCATAAATAACACATCATTCTATATATCTTGTCCAAAATTTAAAAAAAATACTATATAAAGTAGCTCGTTGCCTTCATTTGTTATTGTTCTTGAATATTGATTTGTTAAAATAATTAAAAAATAACGAATAATTTTTATTATTATTACTACTTACGTAATATTATTACTTTTAAGAATGTTTTGTTTTTTACGGTTTTTCATGAGAAATCAATGATATACCTAAAGTTTTATAAAAAACAAAATATTTATATTATTTAAATATTTATTAATATTAAAATATAACAAAACAGTGTATTAAATTACGATATTGATATCGATCATGTTGAATCTTAATATTTTAATCATAGAAAATATTTTCCAAAAAGATTGCTTCAAAATATTGAGAAAAAAAACATTTATTTCCTTAAACATGTTGAATTCTAAACATGTAATAAATATTTAATACGAGGAAGCAATTTAATCTTTTTAAAATTAATTCGTAAAATGATCAAATTTATTTGAATTGTATTTTAATAACCTTATGTGTCATTTAAAATGTTTATATGACCTGCTAATTTATAAGTCAACTTGATTGTGAACATAAAAAAATGTATTAAAATTATATATGATTTGATTAAAAATATAAGTCGTTAAAATTTATAAAAGTTTTGTATTAATTTAAGAATATATAATGCTCTGTTAAGAATTAACGCTTCTATAAATTATTTTAATTTGTACAATATAATAATATGCTAAAAAATTTTCTTATTGTTTAAAAATATCACCAAAATTGTGAACGATTATATATTTACGAGTAAATTATTATTATTATGAAATAAATAAAATTTTGATTGCAGCCAGTATTGCGAGTTTTGTTTCATGACGAATTATTTTCGGAAGCTGCTTCCAGCACACTAATAATATTAATGGGGTGCAACTTGAATTTTTTTCGAGAAGAGTTGTGCGCCAATAATCTCGTATTTATGCCCTACGGTTACGACCCAGAGCAATGGAATTATGTAAGTAATAATTCTTTTGCAAATAATAGTAATAAATTCGAAAATCTCTAATATACAAATACAAAATTAGATGCGAAAAGAGCTAATAAAAACCAGACGCATATGTATGTTAAATAACAAACTTTTGTTTTCACATTCTTCTCTAATTATTTTATGCAAAACTATTCTCTTCTTTTAATTCTTTTTATTTATTTAATAAATTCTTTTAATATTTTATATTAAATAACTATAGAAGAATTGAAAATTTATTTATCTATTGTGTAAGATATAAAATTTTATTTGAAATTATATATATATTATTTATAATTTGGTATTAGAGAAAGCGAGAGAGAAAGAGAACAAGAGAAAAGTTAAAATTATTATTTAATTAGTTTATATAAAATAATTGGAGGGAGAATTTAAAAAAGATATATAAAATAAATAAATATATGTATTTTTAATGTATAATATAATCAGAGAGGAGGTACAGACAAGTTTGTCGCGCATAATATCTGCGCCTGATTTTTATTAATTCTTTTCATATCTAATTTTTGTAAAATATCGCAATCGAAGAATGATCATTACGTTTCAGGATTGTGCGATTACACTTCTAATCGGAATTTGTATTTATATACACTAGACAACATAAGCGCACGCTGCGCGCGCGATTGTCTGATTTTGTTTCATGTTCTATTTAATTTTCTTTAATTTTTATTTTAAACTCTACTGTCAAATGTTAAAAACCCTCGTAATGACAGCTGCTTAATGCTACGAATATAACGCGAATCGAGACAACCAATTACCATCGCAAAAATAGCGACAACAATAAACTTCGAGAAATAAAATTATTGACTTTACATGCTTTTTAAGAAATGGATACATATACATATATATTTCATACAGATATACATATATGTGTATATATATATATATATATAATATAATATAAAATTCTCTGTATATATGTATAAAAGATCGTGATAATTAGTGTTAAAATATATATATATATATATATATATATATATATATATATATAAATATATACAGGGTGTCCGTTAACTAACGGACCAATGATTAAGGGCGGATTTTTTGGCCAATTTGGAGATGATTTTTCCTTAGCAAAATATTGAAAGTCAATTATTTTCAAAACGCACTAGCTGGAGGTTGTACGATTGGATTTGTTCTTTGAGATCTTAATATACACACATATACAAATCAGCGCAGATACACACATACATACTTTTAGGCAAGCAGAATATAATACACACAAGACGAGGAAGACACGCACCAATACACAGACGTACATGAAAATAAACGTAAATATGACGATACAAGAACACTGGAAGTCGTTTCAAGAATCTCGCACACTTTCAGTACCATATAAATCGCAGGAACAAACAGACGATCGTTACCGAACAGCTTTATAGTGAATATTACCTTCAATTTCTTTGCAACGTCACTGCGCATCACTATCAGCATCGCCTTTTCCGTAGTGCAATAAAAGCTACAGGATATTAACAATATAAAGTGAGTTCAGTTAGAATTATTTATATAAAAATATGTAATATATTTAAATCTCTTTATTTACTTGAATTTCTTTATTATTTTTCTATAGATGTATACACCGAGAATTTTCTAATATAAATAATCATGAAATGGACTGTACAAAATGATATTTTAAGAATTATATAAAAGTTTCTTTGATTAAAAAACATATTTATCAAATATATATTTATATTACAATAAAAACAATATTTATATCATCCACAATAAGATATAATTTATTTATATATAAAGATAATTTTTAAAATATAGTCGTAGTAGTAGTAGTAGTTATTTTAAAATGTATTAAAAACTATATTAGAAACCTATGATTCTTTAAGTATTTTAATAATTTTTTAAATTCATAAACTTTTTACAAATAGGTGAAAACAAGATAATTCGCGAGTATTCTCCTTCTTTTAAAATTCCGATAAGAAGTTACATAACGTATTTTAAAAAATTATAGCGAATAAAATTTTGTGTTTTCTTATACCCCAAGCTATACAAAAAATCACAGATTTGCTGACAAGATAATTTGTACATAATAATTGGTATGTTTAAAATAATCGAAGTGTACAATATGTAAAAAAAATTTTACTTGTTTTGAGTAAATGTTAAGAAAAATAAAATCCGTTAAAACAATATTTTTTCCATTTTCTAATATAAGACAATTATTCACGCTAAAATTGAAAGATATTACTTGAACGTAAGTTTGCAATATAAATCGTATAACATGATATAAATTTGAATAAAATATTATTTTTTAATTATACATTACAAATAATGAAAAAACAACAAATATAATTAAATAAACATTTTAAAATACAGACATACATATCCGCAGACATACATATACGTACTCAGGTAAGCAGGATTATCAAGAGACACGGTAGTGTCTCGCGACCAGTTAAGGGCGTAGCGGAGACACCGTGTATCTTAACGCGAGTCGGACGTTTGAGTCTTTATAATATTTCGCATCCTCAATAATGGCTGAAGCAATCGAGTTTATACTAGACTTAATCGATAGATTGAGTTCGAATTATATAATAAAAGTGTCTTTATTTCTGCTCTACGTGATTTGTAAGCAGAGATATATAAATGCAAAGTCGAAATATGAAAAATTTCTATTAAGAAACGTCCCCGTCATCATTATCATCATCATTATCATCATCATTATCATCATCGACCACGCATACATAGTAGTATCGTGCCCAGTTTTTTTAACTAAAATTTTTTTATTTCTTTTTCACATGGCGCATGGACTTGGCATCTTGTTTATCTTTTTTTTAAAAGATAAGTTTTTTTATGGTACGATTCTACATTTGCAAATTTAAATTTTTACTGATTCATTATACGACTCTATATATGTCTGCAACTTTAATTTTCCACTGGTACAAGTTTCTACTTTCACTTGGCGCAATTTTTTTTTTATTTCATTACTTTTGTTACGATTGTACATGGGTTTATAATCGATAATTTTTCATACAATTCTATTGTACATGGGTTTGCAATGTAGGATTCTACATAAGTTTACAATGGATAATTTTTAATACAATTCTACATGGGTTTGCAATGGTTAATTTTTCATAGGATTCTACATGAGTTTGCAATGGTTAATTTTTCATAGGATTCTACATAGGTTTGCAATGGGTACGATTCTACATGGGTTTGCAATGGTTAATTTTGCCTAGGATTCTACATGGGTTTGCAATGATTAATTTTTCATAGGATTCTACATGGGTTTGCAATAGGATAGGATTCTACATGGGTTTGCAATGGATAATTTTGTTAATGGCGTGCCCTTAACTGGTCGCCTTTTTTTACCTTTTTTTAAAGGTGAGTTTTTAGAAATTATAATAAACACAAGACGAAGGAGACACACACCAATCCACAAACGTACATGAAAATAAATGTAAATATAACGATACAATAATACTGATAGCCGTTTCGAGACTCTCGCACATTTTCAGTACCATATAAATCACCGGAACGAACAGACGATCGTTGCCATACAGCAAATTTATAGCGAACATTACTTCTTTAATTCTTTGCGACGTCACTGCGTATTAGTATCCCTATCGCCTTTTCCGTAGTTCAATTAGAACCACAAGATATCAACAAAATATTTGTTAGTTTACTTAGAATTATTTATATAACAGATATCTAAATCTGTTTTTTGTCATGAATTTCTTTATTATTTGTGTATAGATATATACACGGGTGTTGTAAAAGGATTGGTGTCACAGCATAAAATATCCTGTGACAGGTATCTTTAATTGTTTCCATAGCACGTACACAACTGTTTCTTGCGAGAGAATCAGTTCAGAAGGAATTAATTATTTTAATAAATAGTGTTTTCCAACAATATAATCGATATTGTGTAATAATGTATGACCCAGTTACAGCGGTCAACATCATACAGTTAAAATATTATGTATCGTCATTCTGCGTTACTTCGCAGATACCAATATTTTTACATTTTTTACACTTAATTTATGGTAAATGTATCTTTTGCAATTTTAAATTATTACAGATCGTTGACCTCATCAGTCTGTACTATTCGAGATATTGTGTAACAATATTGCCATCCGTGAATAGAGATAATGTTAAACGTGAACCTATGTCTGATCGTTATTTTGAGATGCATTCTAACGCTTCAAATACTCAATCAACCTGTCTTTGGTAACCACACAGGTAAGACTTTTATTTACCAGATGGTCAGTGTTGTGTTTAAATAATATTTAAATTAACTTCATAAAGCTGAGATGAAAATATGTAAATTTATCTTAGATAAAATAAAGGTGATTATGTTTTAAATATATCTAGATAAACGCTAAAATTATGTGGTAAATAAAATAAAGGTGATTATGTTTTAAATATATCTAGATAAACGATAAAATTATGTGGTATTCATCTAAATAATTTCTTGATAATATTATTTTTAAGACCGTTTATGTGAATATAATTATAGAAAATATATATAATATATTATAAATGAATTATATATATAATAAATTATAAATGGTATATATAAAAATATATTTATATTTTTATTTATAAATTGTTATCGCTTACTTAAGCTTTATTACTTAAGTATCTTTATGTGTTATGACTTTAAACCAAATTAGTCTAGATTAAACATTAGTCTAGATAATTTAATAAAGATAGCATTTTTTTATCTAAGATGCAGCTATAGACATATATAAAAACATATTTTTATTATCTATATCAAGATAAAATGACGTCAAAATTTAATCTCGATCATCTACATAATTTTATTCAAATAACAGCAATTACGAGCTATGACTTTCAATCAAATTATTTGACCATTATTCTAGATAATTTATTAGTAATGATAACACTTAATTGTTTTCATCTAAGATGCAGATATACATATAATATATATTTTTATTATCTAGCTAAAAAAATAACGCCAAAATTGCATCTATATAATTTTAT